AGATGTTCTGAATTATTCCGTTTTAGTTGACAACTCGATTCCCGTACGTAGGACGGGCCACCAGCTCGTAAATCATAATAAAATTTACACGTTAAACGTAATTAAAGAATTACATTGTAGTGGTAATGTATTTTTAAATAGAGCTATTGAATTTAAATAAATATTTATCAATACATTATAAAGTGGTAGGCCTAATGTATTCATGGATTGCATAAAAGTTAGTCTATGCATAAATACAACTTGTAAATTTCTTTTATCGTAGGCTATTAGTGTAGAACCGGGGTCATCCTCTTAATTTTGTTGAATTAATATTAATTTTACGTCTTTCAGTAGGCCTACTTTTTAAAAGTCTGGAGTTTTTCTCTAGGCTGATTCTAAATGGATGCAGGCGTTCTTGTTTGTTACAATTCTATGAATTGGTGGTCATAGCTAAAATTACTTAATCTTATTCAAAAACAAAGCTATTGTCTATTGTGAAGCTCAGTACTAAGCAACGGTGAACCGAGCAATGGCTTGGTATAGTTTATATCGATTGTGAAAGCAATATAAAGGAAACCCAACACTCAAATCAGGAAAATCCGTCAATTCGTTTATTAAGAATCGTGAATTAAAATTACCGTGTCACGTTTTATTATATGAATATTATATCTTTTACTATTTTTTACTAGTAGTGCTTAGGTGTACAATCTAAAAACGGTTTTATAACATGTAACATAAATCTGTTTTCCGTGTTTAAGAACTTGCGTGTATTTTAGCTTAGTTTCGTAGAGGTTTAATTATTTGGTACCAATTAAACTGAAATTTCAATATTTTTCATATTCTATTATTTTCTTTTATACTGATGGCATTTATATTTAAGATCGAAATCATAAACATTTAACTGGCCATTAATAAAAAAAACTAACATTTTATTAACTAGCATTAGTTTAATAAAAAAAAACCACTTTTTCATGATTTTTTAATTGTCTTTGAATTACTTTGGGCTAGTTATCTGTTAAAAGTGGAATTGATAACAAAAAACAATAATATTTACTGTATCTTTATTGACACTGACATTTTGAAATACGGCAGTGTACGATTATTTTGTCGTACAAGGTTGGCAACGCTCCGTGCAGTGGGCGCGGCCGGGTTAGCGACTTCCAGAGTTAGCGAATTCCGCCGCGAGACAAAATCGAGTTAGCGGGTTCCGGAGTTAGCCAATTCCTGACTGAGACGGTTAGCCAGTTCCAGAGTTAGCCAGTTCCGACACACGACCGAGTTAGCGAGTTCCTGAGTTAGCCAATTCCTACGTCTCGAATATATTACTAATATTGTCTACAATAGAATTTTTGCACAAATTATATTGCCAGACATACATTTCTTATACATCCAGTAATTTTGAATAGTCTATAAATTATATTTTAGCTTGTTAAAGATACTTTTTGAATAACTATAGTTTGAACGCACGCAGAACTCGACGGAACCAGTCGACTGCACTAATATCAAGAAATAGAGCGAGAAGAACAAATAAATTATCTAGATATAACCATCATGAAGCATAACCAGCACCATAAATTTAACATTTACAAGAAACCAACTCACATCGATCAAGTTATTCATGCTGACTCAAACCACCCACATTCCCACAAAACGGCAGCATTTAGATTTATGCTAAACCGCCTCCTTAAAGTACCGCTGTCCAAAGAAGACAAAGATAAGGAGCTCACAATAATGAAATACATTGCTCAGCAAAATGGCTATAAATCCTCACTTATAGACAGAATATATAAAAATATTCAGGCAAAGTCCCCTAAAGAGATAGAGAGCAAGAGATTTGTTACAGTAGAGTACAGTAAGACTGCCAAACAACTAGCTAACCAAGTTTACAAGAATACTCCTGTAACAGTTGCCTTTAGAACTAATAACAACTTATCTAAAGTGCTAAAACCTATAGAAGAAAAAATCCCGGACAAAGAAAAACAAGGAGTTTATAAACTAAGATGTGGCAGTTGTGATTCGTTCTATATAGGCCAAACAGGGCGTAAATTTAAGTTAAGGTACAATGAGCTCATTTAAGCAATTGGTTCCAAGCCCAGCCTTCAAAAATCCAACTTCGCAGCACACATCAGGGATTCAATGCATGATTATAAACCAGTTGAAGATTGTTTAGAAGTTCTGCACACATGCAACAAATCATATAGGCTTGACAGGTTAGAGGAAGTGAAAATATATCACGCTCACAAATATGACAACCAAAACCTCATCAATGTCCAATCCAATTTTACAGCCAATGTAATAGCCTATATGACAAAATAGTCAGAACGGACGAAGACACAAAATGATCATGAAGGCATTGATGCTCCAGCAACCAGAACAAAAAATCGAAATTGCCTGTCGTCTGTTGTCTGTCAGTTGAGCACTTGTCAAAAGTGAGGTTATGTCGCGACATACAAGTAGGCCTAGGCCCTACTAAACTTTATGTTTCATCTTTTGTGTTGTGTAATGTATTGTAAAAAGTCGACAAGAACCAGAATGTTCGCTTATTTACTATGATTTGACCTCTAAGAAAGTGCTGAAGATGGCTTGATTAAGCCGAAACAGCTGTACACTGAGTACAAAACTGGATTGCTTCAAGACGGTAAGTCATATAATTATTACATTTAAAAAGCAAATCCTGGTCAGCCAACCACAAAGTATGCAATAACATCCTTATCCCATGAGTCTATTGTGCACGCTTGGAGCTGATCAGGTAGACAGTGGCCTTGGTCAATGAGTAATACTTATGATTCTTCTTCTGGCCCTTTACAAAAATTTTTATTGAAGAAAATATAGCAAACCCGTGGTATAAATAAATGCATTTTTATCTCCTGTTCATTTTGATTTCAAATTTGAGGTGAATCCATCAACCTATAGAAGTTATAAAATTAGGTATTTTAGTATGATAGTTTCGCATACAGTACTGTTACTGTTAGAAAAATTAAAGCACTACAATATCAAAGGTGTGGCTTTAGATTTATTTAGGTCTTATCTGCAAAATAGATCTCAGTATGTGGCATTAGGAAATAACCTGTCTCAATGTAAACCTGTAACTTGTGGAGTTCCTTTAGGGCTCGGTACTTGGGCCATTATTGTTCTTGATGGTGGTCAATGACTTAAGCGTAAATGTCCCTACAGATATTGTTTTATACGCAGACGACACCACGGTAATCACCAGGAGTTCAGACTATAGTCAACTTTTAGAAAACTGTGAGTTGAATAAAAATGTTGTTGAGAACTGGCTAACAGCAAATAATTTAATTCTAAATAAAGATAAAACATCAACTGTAGTATTTAGTCTTAGAGAAATTCCTGAGATGCCAAATGAAAATCTGCATCCAAAGTTTTTGGGACTAACTTTTGATACTACTCTAAATTGGCAATATCATGTTCATTTGGTAAAGGCAAGGCTTAGTTCGAGTAGGTATATTTGCTATGAAATGTTTGTGTGGTGAATTGAATCAGAATTCTTTAATACAGGCTTATTATGGACTATTTCATAGCCATTTAAGGTATGGTTTGATTGTTTGGGGATCTTCTCCTCATGCAAATGAAGTTTTTATTATGCAAAAAAAAGTTCTTAGAGTCATTGCTGGTGTAAAAATGTGTCATAGTTGTAAAAATCTATTCAAGGAGTTTAAAATTTTGACTTTGTTTTCTTTATTTATACAACAATGTCTACTTTATATTAGAGCCAATATTCATTTATTAGACTGTAGAAAAGATGTGCACAGTTATAATAACATTAATTTGCCAAAAGTAAGACTAGCCAAGACAGATAAAAGACCAATGATGATTGCAATTAAGTTGTACAATAAGTTACCATTAGATATAAAACTGCTTAGTGATAAGGATTTTAAAATTAAATTAAATTATTTTCTATGTAAAAGATCATTTTATTCTATAGAAGAGTATATGTCAAGACAATGGACTGTTAAGGACTTCTGTTGAATATTATTTATTTATAAAATTGACGTGCCAATGTATTTGCATGAAATATTTTCTGGCTGAATAAAGTTCTTATTCTTATTCTTATTCTTATTCATCCCTTTTAAAATGTTGATTTTCTGCGACCTAGGTTTCAGCATATTGTTGTGCTGTTATCAGGCTCCAGTGTAGAACATTCAGTCCATTGAAACGTTACTTGGTCGATGAGTTAAAGTTATATAATGTTCACATGAGACAAATATGATCAGTGAGTATTTATTTATAAAACAAAGAGGCACTCATTGTATGAGTTTCACGGCCGTGCCAGGTGTCATCCAAGCAACAATCAAATTTGGTATCAAAATTAACAGGAGACAAAAATTCAGTACCGGTACGGTAATTTAAACAATCAGATCTGTACACATTTTCTTAATCAAAAAAGCTTGACCAATGAACAGGACACCGTCTGCCTGGGAGCAGCTCCTAGCAGGGCCTAGTGCGTTTGACTGGTTCTGTTGGGTTCCGCCTCACTCTGACAGCGTTTTACTTTAGGCTATAAGTTATAAATGATATTGTCTCACTGGACAGGTTGCTCTTAGATTTAAAACTAAGCCTGTATTTTGAAAAAATAAATATTTACACAAATTCTAAAAGCTACACTTTTTAGCAAAGCTCTTAAAAACTAGGCTATTAAAATGTAGGCTATTGTATAGGTAAAGTATAAGTAATATAGCTGTTTACAGCTGTCCAAACTTTGTTTAAGTTAATAGGTTAAGTTACTGATTTTAAAATTTCTAGCCTAAGTAAGTATGTAACTGGGAACGTAAAGAAATATGTCCGTCCTGTTTTTAACTTCTTATCTTTTTTTTAATGAACCTTACGGGTAAAGCTGTGAAATTCACAACTTTTGACTAAGTTATTAACAGTGAAAAATCTAAGAAAATATTTTTCACATAAGTTATGGCCTTCGATATGACATTCTAAATATTGTTGCTAAAAAGTGCTAACAATCCTACGCAGGTGTTTAAAAGTCTGTAACATAGGCCTAAGCTGTTTACCTTCAAGTCTTTTCCTTTCGTCTATCTTCCGAGGACTTTCATCCGCTTGCAGATAGTTTAGGTGAAGGTGATCTATTTGAGCCCACAAGTCCCGTAGGCCTATACGGTCCCTAACCATGTAGTCCACTGCCATACTGATCAGTTTACAGACTTCACATTATTTAATAATTTCTGTAAACAATATAACTCACATTTTATTATTTTCCATCAGTTCAACTGAAGGGAGTAGGCTATATTATTTTAGAATAATATAGCGTTTATTTTAGAATAGTTTGACGTTACCTATTGTATTTATTTACTTAATGGTATAATAAATCTCTTGAATCTCTCTATATTTTATGTAATTTATAAAAAAAACAGAATAGTCCTATAGCATAATTTAGTTCACAAAGAAAACTAAGTTAGATAGCCTATATGTAAAACCAATAATGAAATAACTTTACCCCAACACATCCTAGGCCTTCCATTAACTTACTTGACTTAGCAAATTTCCATTGGCCTGATTGAATTTTGACAAAAAAATGTCTCCTTGAACATGTCAGATGTATTTCTTATTTAAATTAAATCAGGTTTAGGCTAAGAAGTTACTTGGGTGTGCTGCTACACAGGAAAAGTAAGTTAAGATAATAAGCTTGAAAATTAAGTTTGGTAGCCTAACTTATCAAATTAGGCTAGTTATTTTTCCCTAGGGTACCTACACTTGTGTGAACCTGGCAATAACTCAGCAATAAGTTGTGCGCAGGCCTTCAAAAATCTATTGCTGGCCGTTTTGCAAAAGATTTGGCCCAAACCATATTACCGATTTAATGTCAACAGAAAGAGCACACTTTAACGGACACGACACTATCAATATCATATACCTGGAGAGTAAGTTGGAAGGTAAAGTCAGCAACAGGTAGTGCACGCGCCCAATAAAATCTATTTCTGGCCGTTTTGCAGATAAAATCTATTGCTGGCCGTTTTGCGGAAAATACGGCCGCAAACCATATTACCGATAATGTCAAAAGATAGAGTACACTTTAACGGACACGACAGACTCAAATTATTTTCCTCGGGGAGTAAGTTGGGGGGAGTGTCGGCAATAAGTAGTTTGAGCACCTTAAAAAATCTATTGCTGGCCGTTTTGCGGAAAAATACAACCGTGAACCATATTACCAATAATGTCAACAGATAACTTAGAGGACACTTTAACGGGCACAACAGTAGGCCTATCAATATCATGTACCTGGGGAATAAGTTAGGGGGGGGTAAAGTCAGCAATAACTTAAGTACCTAATGCAAGTTAAGCCTTGCTGGCCGTTTTGCGGAAAAATACGGCCGAGAACCATTACCGATAATGTTAAAAGATAGGACACTTCAACGGACACAACAGTATCAATATCATGTAGGCCTAGGCCAACCTGGGGAGTAAGTTAGGGGGGGGGGGTAAAGTCAGCAATAAGTAGTGCGTATGCCTTAACAAATCTATTGCTGGCTGTTTTGCGGAAAAATACGGCCGCAAACCAATTACCGATGATGTCAACAGATAGAAGACATCTTTTGACATATCTGTTGACATTATCGTTACCCTAATATGGTTCGCGGCCGTATTTTTCCACAAAAACGGCCGGTAATAGATTTTTTAAGGCGCACACACTACTTATTTCTGAGTTATTGCCAGGTTCACACCAATGGTAGGCCTACCAACAAGTTTTTTTTTTCATTCACTAAGTTATAACTTAATTTTATAATATGCTCAGTAGACTAGGCCTAGGCTGGTTAGTTTTAAGTAAGTTAGGTAGGCCTAGGCCTATACCAAAATCACATAGCTAACTTAATCAACCATAGGCCTAAGTTACAATTTTCTCTGCTTGAAATTTTAATTAAACACATGACAGTGACAGTCCTAGGCTGATTAGGCTATTAATATCGGTCAAGGGTATATAAAAAAGGTAAAGTGATAGGCCTATGGGTAGGCCTATGAGACTGCATTTGATCCATTTCCAAATCTATCACTATAGCATAGGCCTAACCTATCCAAAAACGAGTTGAAATTTAATAAATTTTCTAGGATGTTTAAATGTATACAAAAATTAGTTGAGTTTACTAATGTTAGCCTACTTAAGAATACAGTACTTACTTGAGACGGTGTCTATCAATAGAATTAATGACACTTAAATAAAAATAAATGAAGGAACAAGATTTTTCCATAAATAACTTTCCAGGTTTGTCGTTCCGTTCTGTTCTGGTTCTTCTTGTTCTGTTCTAATTTCTATGTTCTTCTAGTTCTATTCCTTCATTCCTTCAATCCAATCTCATTCAGACAGAATTATAATAGTAGTATTGCCAACCTAACAACTCCTGCAGCTCTAAGAAAGGTAAAACTTTTACTATGTAAACGGTAAATAATGTATGACGCTTTTAATTTTTTTATTTTGAATATAGTCTTATTCTGTAATCATATAATTTCAGTGGTGCATTTTAAACGAATATATTTGCAAATGTGGGTCAACAGTGGTCAAGGTGGTCACTAAAAGTAAGTCAAGCACGTTTCTGTATCACTAAATTCGTAAACCTCTGCAGCATAACCCCGTAGTATTAGGCCATAGCTAACACGACAGTGAAAAATGGCATGATTTATGTTCAACAGGCAACAGGTATTGCTCAGTGATAAAACTACAGCTAGAGTAGCAGGTAACATACACCCTTGAAACCTTGAAAGTTTGCTAGTGACTTTATCATTCCACGCCAATTTCCTATCCAGATAGAATCCAAGGAGCATTACTGGTTCACCAGGTGGGGCATTTCTCGCCAGACTGCTGATGGTTGCAGGGTGCCTGGGTTTTATCCTGGTTGAGCTGAGTACCATTTTCCTCAAACCAGTGGGATGCTACGGCTGTTGGTTTGTGTTTGCTTGCATCTTCTCTGGAGTGGACAGCATAATTTGGGGTCCCCGTGATACCAGGGTTGTGTGGTCAGCACAAACACCACCCCTCATATCAAGGTCGTTGATTATTAGGAATACAACGGGCCCACAATCCTAAACGGGCCTGCGCCGTACCTGACATATTTGGGCTTAGATGTTGCTCCCTCAATGGGGACCTCCTTGTGTCTTTCCGCCAGATAGTAGTAAGAAAAACACTCAATACCACAAAAAGTATATTATTATTATATAAAGAATACTAAATATTAAGGATAATAACTACTAACAAGACTACACGCCATATACACTCATCTCCATTCATACTTGGCTTAATGGATTACGAAATATCAGATAATTTTTTAAAGTCTGATGAAGTAGTTTTTCCAGTGTGATAAAAGTATAGTTTACTACTAAATTTAAAAGTGACCTATTTGTGGCGAGATAAAGTTTAAACGAGCATGGGAAACAAATTGAGAAATACACTATAACTGTACTAAAAAATAAAAATTATATTAATTAAAAAATATATAGACCTATTCCACTTTAAGTTAATTAAAACGAGACCATCATACTTTTTCTCCATTTTACCTCGAAGCGCTTGTGACAGATGCTCTAATTATATTTGTTTTGGGTACAAACACAATAAACATTATAACGCGTTTCCACCCTTTTCATTTTTTCAACTTGTTGAAATATGCCACTTAAGATTATGGTCACTTGATATCACACTCACCCGCCATTGCAATCAAATGTTATCAATCTACTCCTATACTTAATTAAACACTGTTCACCTTAATAACTTATATATATTTAAATTATTTAACTATCACTAAAATATATATAACGACAAGACAACTAAGAAACTAACAAAAAATTAACACCTGTCACGGTCAGATATTGAACATCGACTGAAGTGAAGACATTGTTTTGACACTTGAGATTACAGTATACATAATCGCCAAACAAACATTCCTCCTTCCCACCCTTCGGTGCTTGGGGTATTGTTATTGGCTTCCATTGGCTCGCCCCCCTCCCCGGGTCCGCTGCATACCAAAGCGACTGGACTTTGACTTTCTCTTTCACCACCCCTCACGTTGTTTGTCACAAGGGCGCTGACCTCTTACGTACGCAACCCTCACTGAACACGTAAAATAAATAACCCGTACTGGAAATACTTTCGCCTGACCAGAAAAGCTAATGATTTAAAACTAGCGAATATATTATCTATTCGTTGTCTATTAAACTAACTGAGTAGAAGTTATTTCCAGCTCTTTTTAAAAACTAACTAATAAGTAAGTAAAAAAAACCCGAACGAATAGTGCTATTCGTTAGAATTTCTATTCGTTATTCCCAAGTATGGGTTTTTGCTACCTTTAGGGAATCATGAAAAACCCCACACCTAAGACAAAGGTTTACTAGCCGAGTCAGAGGCTTTAGTGTAAACTCAATTGTGCTCTTTAAGATGGAGCAAGAGACACCGTTTACATCTTGGCTGTTTGAATCCTTAAAACACCTAACTATGCTAAGAATCTGACTGTCAATCACCTCTTTCCAGCGTGTAAGGGTGTGTATGTGTGAGATGTCTGCTATAGTGTCCAGTGGGTCCATGTGCTGTAACAGAGGCATACTTTTAATTATGTCATCAGCTACGAAATAGTCATTAAAATCATCCGGTGAAGCCACAATGGGAGGGATGGCGTTTAATTTCCTATGTTCATTTACAATTCCCCAAGCAGCCTTACAGGTGTTCGAGGACCACATGATGAAGCTCAAAATTACCTCAAAATGAGATTAGAATAACTAACAGTTGTTTTATCTATGCTATAGATTTTGAACTTCTCAAAAGTGCTAACATTGAATTTAACCATAGATAAAACGGAGTATGTTTTATCTATGGTTTAACCTAGTTTAAAAAGTCAATGTTATAGCAAAGATAAAACAATGGTTAGTCTATGGTTATAGACATTTGAGATATATTACAAGGTTTTCTACGGTTTTTTTTTTAGATCTTTGAGTTAGCTCTCGCTCCGGAACTGGATTCTGGTTTGAGGTTGGGTTTTGTGGGGTTGTGAGTTGTGACATCATCATGCAACCGTAAAAGAGAACCGTCGAAACACGAACCGTCGTTAGTGATGGGAGAATCGAATACTTTAAAGAATCGAATACAGTGAATTCGTAGCCTCCCCTGTATTCGAATACTTTTACGAATACTTGTATTCAAACACCTTTGAGTCTGCAAAGCATGGAAAATGAGTGTGTAATTCTTTTTTCATAATGCAACGGTTCTTTTGGCCACTGTTATTTCGTTTTACAGTAATTAATTCATTAATATAATTTATTCAATGTAATTTTAAATTATATGATTTTTAAAAGGTACATTTATTTTGACTTATAATTATTTCATGGTCAGTTACAGTCTTATTAATGTATTATTTTCTATCATATTAACTAATTAATATCTTTAATAATATGTCTTATTCATTTGTATGGATAATTTACATCAGATATGCATGTTATTTTGCCATGTAACTATATAAATCGGTTGTAGTTATAATAAATTCTATTCAATTGCCCTCTACCAGTAGTAACCTAATATTTTAAATAGGTATCCAATATATTCTAAATGTTAACGATTAATAATAATCTTATGTAAATTATAGGGCTAATGGTAAAATTATAACGAATAGATGAAAACAAATGCTGCAGTAAAAACATTAAATACTCTTACGAATGCTACGGATTCGTAACGTAAGATATTCAAAAGGGAATTCAGTAGTTGAAAAAGTGTTGAATACATTTTTGAATCCCCCGAATAGAAATCCTGCAAAATCTGAGGTCAAGAGTATTCACAAAAAAGTATTCGTACGAATCTGAAGTATTCGAATCTACGAATACTCGGGCTGTATTCGAATACTATTCGATTCTGTATTCGATTCTCCCATCACTAACCGTCGTCCGTTTCTGTGACTGTCTGCCGTGAACGCAACGTATTAGGCTAGTTTATTTCATTTCTGGTTTATTATGTGCTAAATGAAATCCAAATTATAATGGATAGTTGGGGTAAGTAACTAAAACGTTTGTATAGTTTACCATTAAGTTAATTTTGAATGCAGACCACTTACATTCTTATGCATGTATTTCAGAAAATGAGGATTTTGAGGTCACCATGCCTGCCAAGGCTTTGAACAAATGGGAGGGAGAGGACGAAGATGATGAAGTTAAAGTGAGTAACAAATATGATATCGTTTACATTGTAATAATAATAATGCCTAAATCAAACATCCACATTAAATCAGCAGAACTCCAAAGATAAAACGTGTTGAGACTAAAATAATGTTTCAATATGGTTACTCCCATAGAACCTATAGCCTGTTCACAGGCTGAACTTATGAAGGAGGGCCAATCCCAATATCTAATTGGCTATGCTATGTTTTGAGCTGTTTGAGAGATGTAGGCTAAGATAACCCTTAAACTTAAGTTTAGGTAGGCCTACCTAGGTTAAGTTCAGCTTCAAATTGCGAAGTATTTAATTTTGCCGAGTAGAACTGTAATGGGATCATTAAACCGTTGGCCTTGTTGCCTATCACGGTCCAAGATGAGTACAAATTGTATCATTGAACATTGTAGGCTAATACATTGAATGCCACCTAAGTTAAGCTAACTTAATTTTGACTGTGTAACTTAACTTACCACCAATTAATGTGGATAAGGCTGCTCTTTACTTTATGTCCTACACTCATTCGAATAGATATCGATTATTCGATTGTTTCATTTGATATATCTTTTGGTTAGTTAGGTTAGGTTAACCTTACCCAAGTTAACTAACCAAACGATATAACTTATCGATATATCGATCGGCTTGTACTATTTGCCCATCAAAATATACATGGCCGCGGCGTTGGCATGAAGCATCCGGAATAACTAAGTTATTGCCATGGTAATAACAGGAACAACAGACTTGTAAACATTTAAATATTGTGCATAAGTAGGTACACTCCATTAGGCTATGAATTAATTAGTGCAACAGCTGTTTCTGTCAGCCGATCTGCGGCTTTGCCAGATATCACTTTGAAAACCACTTTTTGTGTTTGGGGGGGACCCAAAATGGATGTAGATCCGCTCAAAACTCAAACTCGAACATTTTTACAAAAACTATGCTTTCTCTCCTATACAAAGTAGTGCCTGTAGTAGGCAGGCGTATGGTATAGGGGGGAGAAAGTAAAAATAAGTATTCCAGTGTGATGTTATTGTGTTCTTATTCAGTAATTTAGGCTACCATGCTTACTTTTAAAACCCAAATATACTTTGGTATTTTGGTAATTTTGTAGGACAGTTGGGATGATCCTGAGGAAGAAAAGAAAGAGGAGGACTCTTCTAAAACTCAAGCAGTTTCTGCTGCCAAGAAACCCAAAAAGGCCTTACTAGGAAAAATTGAGGAAAAGGAAGTAAGTAGCAGCATGGTTTAACTACACATTCTGTTGTAGTTAGCATCCTTATGGATCAGACGACTCTAAGTAGGCATAACTTTGACCTATGTTTTTGTTTGGAGGGCTCTAGGCATATAACTTATTTTTGTGTTTTCAAGTTAACTATTAACTTAGGCCTCTACCAGTAATTTATATTTATTTAACAAACTTGTGATATCTTTAACATTGGTGAACTGACCAAATCAGGAATAATTTGTTTGTCAAGACTACATCAGCCCACTTGAGCATCATCAGATCTTAAACACAGGTAAAACTTCTTCAGATTTTACAGTTGCCTATATTATGAGAACGCTCTAGTAACTTTTTTTTCTTTTTTTTTTCAACGCCAGTAGCATTTTACGAGAGTTACGAGAGATAAATGTTCAGTGGATGTGCCGGGATTGAACCCGTTTTCCTTTTAACCAATTCCTTTTAATTGTTCCCGCTGTAACATAGTCTTTTGTCAGGAAAAAACATGATATGTTGAATCAGATAGGCTATGTAGGCTAGGCTGATCATTTAAGTGAATGACAATCATTAGGCCTATTGGTGTTACTGTGCTGTTGAATTGTAAAAAAATGTTTTAATATTGATTTGCCTACAATCATAGCCTAGGGAAAACCATAGCCTGTTGTCAAACCTATTTAAGTTATTTGAATTTGTCTTAAATTGAAACCAACTGTTTTGTTTCCAAGCCATCATAAAAAATAACATAGGTAACAAATTTGCTCTAAAAAATAAGAACGGACATAAAAGTACTGATTTTCCTATACCTGACCCTCGTATCCTGTGCAATCCTGTGGAAGTTTACAGTGGGGGCCAACAAAAAGAGTTGTCTCAGCATAACTGAAATGATTCAAACCATAATGTCAATAACATGGATATATAGATCACAATTTCAAAGTAAGATCTCGATCACCCTTAGTGGGAACAAATAGCACGATCAGCGGGTATTAAAAAAATATTTGATTCATGAAAATTTGTATAACATTTTTGTTCAAATTTCATTAAATCGTTTGTTCATTTTGCAGAGAAAAAGAAAAGAAGAAATCGAAAAGAAACTAAGTGAAAAACAAGCTTCACTTACACCTGAAGAACAGTTAGCCGAGAAGATTCGCAGACAAAAACTACAAGAGGAGTCAGACCTTCTTTTGGCCAAACAGCTATTAGGTGCTTATTTAGACAAAGATAGTAATTTATAGTAATTTTGATTTTACAATGTTTTTTCCAGTTTGCATGATTGTGTGAAAATTTAATATTGTGACAAGTATATGTGCCGTCTCTTCTATATTATTAAAAAGGTTTATTGATCTTTGTGGATGACTTTTAGACCCTTTGAACTTTGATTACCTGTACATATAGTAGCCTATTGAACATAAGTTCACAAATGCTAGATCTGCATTTTTTAGATTTAAAGATCTACCCTTAGGATTGACCCAGATGGTTTCAAAGTTTGTTTGGTAAAGTATTCCAAAGAGTTATTTCAAAGTAATCAGTTGATTAGATGTTAATGAAATGTTGATAGGCTAATTCCAATGAAGTTGACAAATAAATATGTTGTTATGAACATTAATGTTATATATTTACTCTAAAATAATAATTTGAGTCAATCAATTGATTTCATTTGGCCACTAAGCACACGAGGCAAGTAGACAGGCAGGTTACCTGTCTTAGGTGCATTTTAAATTACCACAGAGAAGCCTACTGCATACTGTACAATTGGTTTGTATGAGGCTTGGTTTTGAGCAACTCATAGATTTCTAAAATGAGGTAGATGTCCCAAATAGGCATCATAACAGTAAACGTATGATTGAATACATATTTTTATGGAGGAATTGCAAAATACTTTGGTCTGAGTTGAAGTGTTGATTTCACCTCATGAATTAATTAATACTTATTCAGTTATTTATGACTGTTGTAAGTGGAATATACAACCAAAATATCAATTTTGCTGCATTGATTTGTTTGCGATACAACAATGCAAGTAATGTAATCTCAACGAATAGCCTATGAGCTGCAATCTATCAAGTGCAGTAGGCCTATACGTCTGAAGCTTCATTTTGAGACGTGTGAATGTTTGTGCAAAATCAACTCGTAGTTGGATTTCAACAATTAGTTTTAAAATCAAATCAGTTCGGCAGTTAACATAATTTTTCGCAATGAAATGCTCCTAAAACAGCTGGAAACATCTAAGTGTTAATTTAAACACATGTTTACATCGGAGCTTTCTTCAATGTTTCAGGAACCGACGGAATATCACTAGTATTAGAAACTCCAGAGGATTTCGAGAAATTTAAGGATGACATAATCAACAAATTAGGGGACTCTACAAAGAAAGAAAACTTTCCCAATTTTGTAGACCAATTAGTACAATCTTTGTGTGTACATTGTAAGTAGTTAATCTACAATATCTTATACAAGTTTTTAATCTTAACTAGCTTAGATATGCTTAATAAAAATGCTGTAGATAGGTACTAGTCAGTTGTCCCAAATTTAATTTTAAATTCGACCCCAAATTCTCAAAAATGATAATTCTTAAATCTGAAATACGAGAAAAAAAATACCTTCTGTGAAAAAGTTGGCTTATTGAAAAAGGAAAGTTGCAGCAAGCAAGTTATCACTTGCAATAAAAATACAATGCAGTAAAAGAAAGAAGAAGAAAAGTGAACTCCAACTATCCATATCAACGATTATACAAATAGTTAAGCTATCTTGAATATCACACCTGCGTTCTAGTAGACACACCCATTGTCCTGTTTCACTAAAACGTTATCATCGTCCTCCGAAATTGCAAAGGAAACTTCAACCTTTTATAAGGGAAATTTTACCAAAAGGTTTTTTGATTTCGATAGTAAAATCTTAGCTCTAGCTTAATGTATTTAGCCTACTTGGTGTTCGATCACTCGGCTCGAAAATCAAGCTGCAGCACACCTCTACTGAACAACTTATATTTAAAACACTAGTACTGTAGTACCAGTGAAGTATAATTTAGAAATAATTCTCATTCTATCCATTATTTATAAAAAACTCATACAATGCCAAGCATATTTTTGAATATTGAAAATAGTTACCTGAATTTTGTTAAAAACCGTAATCATAATTTTCTAGTATTTGATTAAGGTCTGGCCCAAAACTATTTGGACGGTTGGAGTTCTTCGGTATCCTCTAGAGGAAAATACCAATTTCTGTAAATTGGTTTTACAATGTAGGTACCAAAATAATACTAAACCGTAACATGAAATCGTTATAAATTTAACATACCCAATTTAAACCTCAAAACCCCAGATTGGTTAACTTAGGCCACCTTACTAATATATTGGATTGTAAAAAAAAGGAAATTGCAACTAGCTTACCTTTCAAAGTAGAGGTAGGCAATAGAAGACAAATAAAACACAATATTTCATCTCCAGGGTAGACTTTTGTCAACAAAGCTCTCAGGGGGCGAAATATTGTCTTAAATGTGTTTTCTTCCAAGGTAAGCCCCTTTATTTTCAATATTTAATTTCTAAAGATCAAAATGATTAATAAAACATTTAGGCTATACTAATAAGGTTATGTTACCTGGCTTCTTGTCTACCGACTTCCAAAAACAACCGTGGATCGTAGACAGAAGCCAGGTAACATAAACCTTATTAATGCTAATTTTAACGATCCAGTGGCTAACCATCATGAAACATATTCGTAACCCTGGTCTGCCTTTGAAGCTAGTTCAGATTTCACTCAGTTTGCAAAGTGAGCAAACAACAAGTTTAAATAGAATATATGAGATTACAGATTACTGTAATTCTCAAACCAAGCCGTATTTTGAATTCTGTCTTTAGATTTAAAATTTGGTTCTTACTCTTCATCACATAATCTATGTAAATTACCGACTTGGTTCAAATTCTAGGTAAATATTCCCTCGGTGTAATTTCATAGATAAAAATATTAAACACATTTGACTTAAAATTGATTGTGTCACAACCAAACATTTTGTGATTTAAAATTACCTTCAAATTGAGGTTTTATTAAAAATCCCTTTTTTGGAACTATTTTACTTTTTGTTTAGTGAGCAGGAAATACCTTTTATATAGGAGAACAGTTGAGAACAATCCTTACTATATTTAAGTAGGTATTTGTTCAGTTAACACCTAACTAAATTTTCATTATTCATTATTCAACAAATTAGAGTTGTAACACTTTTACTGTAATTCAGTGGGTGGATCAACTACCTATACCAGATAGACCAAAAATATTAGTTTTCACCAAGAACCAAGGAGACTCCTGATATTTAGTCTCATAAAATTATTTTTGTTTACTCAGAATTATTTAGTAAATCTACTCTAATTTTTTAAAAGCAAATATATGATTTAAGGTTTTTGTTTTCTCACTAGTTATACATTTTTGCAGTAAATTCTACTGACCTTAAGAAACTTTCAACGTGGCTTAATAACATGCACATAGAGAAATTAAAAATAGAAAAAGGAGATAAGGGAAAGAAAAACAAAGGGAAAGGCAAAGCAAAGTTGAAGCTGGAAGGAGAAACTGTAAGTAGCCTAATTAATTTTTTTAGAACATCAGTTATCAACAGCTATTTTTATTACTATACATTTAAATCTAGTTTTGTGGCAAGAATTGACTGTTTGAAAAATAAAGTATTAATGTCTCACAACAGTTAATACAAGAACTCAGAAAGCCTTTTACTTCTACTATTTGGCAAGCTAAATGATAAAACCTGTAGAAAATAGCCTCATGAGACTTATTTTCATAACACTACACAACAATTTTCCATAATGTTGGTAGAGAAGGGCACAATTAATTATCTCTCGAGCCCATAGAGCATCACCCAAGAGTCATGATCACCTTTCACAGTCACACGGCAAATTATATAACATCTGCGATCATGGCAAAATCGTGAACATCTTCCATGGCCACAAAAAAGTGAACTTCTCCCACAGTCTTAGTACAGCCGAGAAGAATATCTTCTACAGTTACAGTGAAATTGTGAACACCCTCCACAGTAATGGCAGAATCAAGAAAATCTGCGGTCATGTCAAAATTGTGGTCACAGCGACATCATCGTCTTTGACGATCGCGGCCAAACCGTTAACATTACCCACAATCCCGACAAAACTGTAAATTTTCTCTACGGTACCATGTCAATGTTAAGGCTCTGCTTGACTTGACTGAGCTTGGTGATGTTGGAAAATCATCTTCGGCACAAACTATTCCCTCGAGCCAACCTGACCCAAAAATATCTACAATCTGCAGACCTCTAGGAAAAAGGTCTTTTCATGACCGGGAAAAATCAAAATCTTTCTGCCGGAGGCAAGCGAGAATTTTTTTCACGAGTTATGATGCCACCCTGTGCAGCTGTTCCAATAGTTTTTGATTCCTTTATTAAGGCAGTTTTTATTTAACAAATTAACCTGTTTTGTGTCCAGCAGTTAATAGTACCCCAATAATTATCTACCTGTCTAATTGTTGTACAATTTAGTTCTTAAGTCTTGTATTCAATATAACAAAAAAACCTAATACTATGAGTAATGAAATTAACTAACTGAAGTAATTGATGTCTATTAAAATGAAATTAAACATTTTACTCAAAATTAATCTTTTACATCTACCTACCTTAACTTTTTATGTTGTTGTCACTAACTTTTCATGCTTTTTCACAGGACTACAACGAGTTTTCAGCCTACACAGAAGACTATGATGACTTCATGTAGTACCCAAGTGTCATTTGAACAGTGCAGTTTTCACGGACATATAGGAATCAAATAATATACAATAGTGATTTTTTTGTATGCTACATTTTATTCAAAGACTTTTCATTTATTTATTTGTTGAGTTATTTTTTAAGAAAGTGTATTTTTGATATGGGTTTTATATTAATACCGTTAAAATAAGCTCATACCTTCCATGTTTGTTTGTATAGTGTATTTCAGAATATGGCAACTGTTTCACTTTTGGATTTACTCATAACGCTTCGCTAAAAGTAGTATAACAAGTTGTTAAAATAATCGCAGCAATTTGTATGAAAATCACTAGCATATAAGCTATACGTAACTTGAAATTTTAGCGTAAATCTATTTATCAGGATTGCAGATTTTGCCATTTGTAGATGTTAAGGTGAATTATTTCTTTGTATTTGTATGTATTATACTTTATATCACTAAAACTCATATCTAATATTGGCTTTAGAATTTGGTCGGGATGTGGATTTCAATTTGAGTTATCTGTTTACTAACTCACACCATTTTACAAATTAGCACCGGGCCTGCATAGCTGTAAATGAGGTTGATTCATTTGGTTAAGTTTGAGAGTTGGGTTTGTAACTTTGGTTGATATGTTTTCTCATGTTACACTAATATTAGACCATGTTGTTATCGAAACCATGAACAAGCCACACTCCAAATATACAATATTTTGAGTTGGGATGATATTTATGTTTCATATTTTTATTTTTAAATCCCCTTGCCACAATATTGAAGATATAGACAAATCTGGAAACCAGATCAATAGAAAATAAGTTACAATATAGCACAGTAAATAAAGAGTAAAGCGGAAACAGTGTACTAAACCATACAATGTGTTGGAAAAGTTGCCAATATTTCAGCCTGGATGTCTTTGAAAAAATTAAAGGTTTTTGCCATCAGTTAATTTTCATGATTGAATGTTAATAATTCCACAGTAATAATGACTTAATTTCGACATCATAAGATGTAGAATTGCCCCTGAACTGGTTATAGTAACTAATATAACGGTTTTAAATACCTTCAGTCTCCAGTTCAAATAAGTCGGCTGTTGCAACCTAGGTTTTGGCACGAAGTTGTACCATCATCAGGCGGGCCAGTTTTGAGTCTTCAGTCCAATGGACGTCGTTGGGTTAAAACAAATAACACGACATACAGCATAAACACGCACACGAACACATATAACGAATTAACTGGTATTTACAGAAGGACGACATTTTTGTAAGTTCACCGGCCGCGACGGGTGACATCTAAGCCACAACTAACTGGAACGATCAAGTGGTCTATCTGACCTTTGTCCTCGGGATTGTTTTGAGCCATGTCTAATAGGATGCGTTAGTGTTGCTTGGGTTTCAATTATTTTGTTAAAAATTAAATTGGAGCTGTGGTGGATTTGGTTGTTTAGTAGGTTGTCGGCATCTACTTTTAACGATTTGTAGATATGGAACTCTTCTAACGTGTCCAATAAAAATCCTTTCTTACAATAGCTGAGAATGGAAACGTTCTCATCTATCATCATCATTCGTTATATGTGTTCGTGTGTGTGTTTGTGCTGTATGTCGTGAACTGTTATTTGTTTTAACCCAACGACGTCAATTGGACTGAAGACTCATAACTTGCCCGCCTGATGATGGTACAACTTCGTGCCGAAACCTAGGTTGCAACAGCCGACTTATTTGAACTGGTGACTGATGGTATTTAAAACCATTATATTAGTTAATAATGACTTAGGTGATGTTTGCTTTCATCAAAGCTGGCTCTTGGGCCTGTTATTCGCTGTAAGCTGTGTCCTCTGATAAAATTTAAGGTTCAACAAAGTGCCCGTTTCCAACTTGAATAATAATGTGATTACATCCACCAAAAGACCAGATGGCCACACATAGTTTTGGAAAACTAAATATTTATTTAAAAAGTTTACAAATAGCCTAACAAATATATTTACAAATTACATAACAAATATTACAACTACTTTACTACTTTAATTGCTCCCTTTTGAATGACGCTTCCAAAACTTTTTTACTTCATCGTGTCCTTGTTTAGTTACCACCTGAAAAAACAACACGAATTTAGAAAAAAACATATTTTTATGTAATAACTTACATATTTAAGCTGTTTGGCAACTGGCAAGTAACATCATAGCCAAGAAATGGCCCAACCCAAAACATGCTATGCAAAGTTATTGTCATTTCCACCACAAAACCCCATAGTTACTTCCTCCGTCCCTGGCAAATGGGAGGCAGTATGTGTCAGTTTGCTAAAACCATTTATTCAGTATTTAAATCCGACCTAGGGAAGTTGAAGAATCCTCACCATAGTTCTTCTCCTGTCGTTCTGCCAAGTGAGCACACCAAGGTCCTGGGCGTAGTCTCGTAGAATGTCAAAGTCTGCTTGTGACAGGAACTGACTGTACAAGACTCCCTCCGTGAAAATGAACCTGTCGCGTTCATTCTCCCACAGTTGAATCTGATCTACGACTGTAGGAGGAAGAACTGGAGGACCTGCGACTGATAACAGAGTGGGTTATGGTAATCTGTCAATCAAAACCGCCAAAACTTTGGAAACGTTTTCAGTTTTAAGATTCAATCGGTTACAAGCCTTCTGTCGTTCGTTGTCTATTTCCACTAGTGACATTGTGGATATCATTCATTATCGAACATCATTCATCCCTTCCCCATTCTCCTCTCAAAGCATTGTGAAATACCCATTAACAACCTTACATGAAATATAAAATAAGTCAAAATTGTTGGTATTCTATTTCCAGCAAGTCGTACAGATAAATTGTCACTTGCAATATTATAATCTCGACTTCAATGCAAAATTGAAGCACTTTTGAAAAATTTTTATGAAATTCCTTAACTAGTTATATTAAATAAATCCTGAGAGTGGTACTAAGTTATTTACAATGGCCTTCAGATAAAGGTCAAGTTGCAATTTTAAACATATGCATGCACTACTTTTACATAAGCAGAGGGAAAAATTATATTTTGTTAAGAGAAAAATATAGTTATAAATGGAAAAAAAAAATCTGATTCTCAAATAAACCAAACTGATGAAATCAGCAATCAACCCATCAATAAGTAACGTCAATGTCTATGCCCCGAGAGCTGATAGAATCAGTGATACCAACCTAACATGCGGGGGTGAGCATGCAGCCTCAGGAACCCGATCATCTGTTGGGCAGTGATACCACTCCTGAGAGCCATTCTGACTGAGTCTCTGGTGAGGATGCCGACAGCCAGGTTGGGAAACCTACAAACATAAAAAGTCACCACAAGGGTATTGACACAAGAATATTGAGCTGGAAACCTTTTTCGACAAGATCAGAATCTACACTTTCAATATAAGCTCAATTTTATTTTGGGAGAATTTGGAAAATTAAGAAGGTCCAATGATTTAGAGTTAGACCATGCCATGTACAATATTTGTTACCAAACTGCTCAAAATGTTAGGCTTGTGAGCATCCAACATAGCTTCCATCATTGTTTTTGCAATTCTAAATAAATATATATATATATATATATATGAGGAATGGCACCTCAATTATGAAAATTGATTAAGCAGGACTGGTGAAAAAAGGGATGTTACAAAGAAAACCCTCATTGTATTAAGTAGGGCCTATTTAGAATATAGATTATTGCATGGGCGGCCAAACTAACCAAACTGATACCAGCAGGGACGCGTTGCAGAAAGTCAACAGTCCCGGAAGGTCAAATAATTTATACCTGTGCCGCTAGGTCAAAAACTACAATGTTTGCAGTGTCTGTAGATCAAAAATCCCAGCAAGTCAAATAGTACAGTCCGAGCTAAAAACGTGGTCTATGTTAAAGCAATTGACTTATTGGGAATTTGACCTAATGCAACAGCAGTTTTAATATAACGAAATAAGATAAAATATAAGTTCAGTTTCGCTGAGTCAACAGTGCCGGAAGGTCAAAAGTATAATCTGTTAAAAACAGCAATAGTCCTCTCGACGCATGACTTCAATAATTTCGTGTTTTGGTGTACTTAAAGTTGTGCTAAAATTTTGAAAATTGGCACAGAGCTTCTTGGTTAGTCCTACTCGATGACTATTTTGTTGGAACTTTAAACTATTTACCGATCTAATTAATAAAAATTTATATGTATGGTGAAATAGTTTTAAATCGTGATTTCTAGCATTAAAAAGATAGCATGCGAGATTTTTGTTTTGTTTTTGGGTTAAGGAGGTTTTGTCTGTGGCAAAGTTGTAGCCAAAAGTGTGATGCGTAAAATATATTTTTTTGAATTTTTTACAATCAGTGGTTCAATAGATAACTTGGGTTGAAGAGGACGGCAAATTTAACATTTCGCAACGCATGGAAAGAACAACATCGTACGATGCGACTGCTGAGTGGACTTTTAATTTACAGTTCTAAGACCAAGAAAAAGATGAATATACAGATCACCTGTACATTCATATCTATACTATTATATAAAAATCTAATGGTGTCTGTCTGTATGTGTGTTACTAATAGGTGCAAAAACTACTAAACCAACTGGGCTTAAATTTTACAAAAATATAGCTACCATACCAAGGACCATTACAGGACTATTCTCCTTTCGATACTGACCGTAGGCTTTGCCCCTTTGGCTTTAAAAGTTCTGAGGTGAACATTTTAAAAGTAAATATTGATTGGTCTCCATGGCTGCGATGAGAACACTATTAATGTTTGTTTACATTTGCTTTGACATTTAAATGTAAACAAGAAGAACTGCTTAACTGCATATTTCACAATTTCAGACAGCTGATACAAAGAAATTAAATATTATATTTTCCATAACTATGAGGTAGGATTATTTTAATCTAACCTTTTGTCATGGATTATTTATTCTAAAACTATGTCAATGATTATAGAAAATAAAGATTCTATACCCGTTGCTGTACCAATCTCTTCTTTGCTTTGGATTTTATAAAGCGTCTAAGTTATGAAAACAATGTTATTGATATGTTTTCATAAAAACAGTATGAAAATTACAATGTATAGATGTTTTGTATAAATTTGGAGGCTACTTTAAATACATTATAACTGCTTAACATGTGTTACATTAACTTAACACAACTTACACACATCACATTGTTTTTAATATGTAGGCCTAATATCACCAATAACTAAATTGTACGTCGTTGATTTTTGTTTTCTAAAATCTGTTGTATATGTGTAACAATATTTAATTATTAAATGTTAATACAAAATACTCTTATTTTATCTTAACATAGCTTTCAGTTCACATTTACTTTATTTGATACATTTATTATTTGTGTTTTGCCACACCACTGATTTTTTTTTTCTAAAATTGTTGGCGGATGTGTAACTATTATATGCAACAGATGTAAAGATTAAAATGTTTCTATTTTGTGTCCTCTTCCCGTTGCAAAGCACGGGTACAACAGCTAGTTATTTATAAAACATCTTTCTGTATTACCAGCTTACATTTTTCACTTATAAGAATACATCATAAACAGGGTGTTAAAAATAAGCGGGGAGATACTTTACCTAGTAATTCCTTGGGTCAAAATAAACAGAAAATGAAGGATAACATTTTTTCCAAAATCGTTTCGTTAACCAGATATCCGCCATTTTGTATTTTTTACATACAAATATTTATCTTTACACTTTTCCAACCGATGTTTATGAAACTTGGTATGTATCCAACTTGGTATGTAGGTAGGAGAGACCCATGTTATAAAAAAAGATTCATCTCGATTCACCCTAAAATTTCAAAATTTAACACTTAACTACAATATAATATACTTTACTACACCACAATATTTACGTATCACCATAAATCTTTAATAAAATAAAACGTTCACATTTTTAAAATCCAAAGTAAATCAATATAATCATATAATCAATATAAAAAAGTGCACTAGTACTATACTTACTAGTGTCCAATAACAATTTGATGGATTTAACCAAAACCTTTTCTATTTAACTTATTTTCAGCTGTTGAATTTCAAACGATACGTTTTAGCTACATCATTAACATTATTATCATCATCATCGTTTGAGTTTGGGTTTGCGGCAATGTATTTTTATAATTAAAACCTTTAATTTGATACCTACCAAACTTGACCTGTGCTGCTATTAATTGACTGTATGGACTATTAATTAACAGCTGTGTCTAAGGATTACGTCGGCCTTAGTCACTAACAGGAAAACAAGATCGCTCCACTCATCACACACTCAACTCCATTCATACTTGGCTTAAAATGCATGCATTTGCATGGTCGCCATTTCAAAAACAGGTAAAATAGTATTAAAATTATATAAGAATTTTGTCTTAGTCTTTGTGGTCCATCCCCCTTAAGGGATTAAACAGTGATAATAGCTTAAGACAGTAGATATTTATGGCTATTATATTATTGATATACCAAGTCTCACTACTTTATCTATATTGTTAAAAAAATATAGCCAATCCAGGACTTTTCAACCATACTGTATAACGCCAACACGAAATTTTTCCGTTGAACTCCTCCGAATTTCTTAGGTGATTTTGACCATTCATGTCTCATTAGAAAGAGCGTGTCACGTACATTTGCAAACCAACCTTACATTTTTAAATCCCTTGGGCTCAGCCCCATCGGCTCATGTTATGAACCCATGTTATGCCTATGAAGAACATATTGATTTATTTATATTAGGATCAGCCCAGTTAATTGCTGTTATGCAATTCAAGGAAATAATGTAGGTTACATTATTAACATGTTACTGATTTGTTTCAAATACTATATTTACTTTTCTATTTGGGTTTGCAGGATAATTTAATCCATTTTACCAAAAAATAAAATTAATGGACAAAGCACTATATTTCATGAGCTATCATTGAAAGGACCGATTGAAGTCCTCATCAACCAAAATAATGCCTACTAAAGCAATTAAAATTGAGACGAACATGTAATGCACGAAATCAGGTGGTTCTTAAGTATGTGAAAAATGTATCGCTATTCAAAAACAGACGGAAAACTTGTAACCATATTCTTGACAACGGGTGTAACCATGTAACATGGCTACATTATCAATGACAAACGTGGACAACCTTATACGAGTGTGAGTACGTCCGAAAACAGAGTAAGTCCGAAAACAACTCTAAAAAACAATAAGCAATAAATTGCAAGAACCGTTGCTTATATCATTGGGTACGGTATACACGTATCCACTGACGTGTATACTCAATGCTTATATCGAACTGTTATATGTACATCGTGAGTTGTTCCATTAGTTGTTTCATTTAGTTGTGTGTCCATTAGTATAGTAGTTTAGTTGACTCTTTTAAAGTCGGGGGAAATTGTGACTGTTATTACCCTTGAAATAATGTTTGTGAAGTACTTTGCAATCCTATCAATGCTTATAGAATCATACGATTACAATTTTGTGGTTAGAATATGTCGCATAGAGTGGTGACTAATGTATCTTTTTGGTTTGCTTGTAAAACAGGATCAACAGAGATTTTCCATCGACTTAAACAATACGATACTCCCAAATTGTTCATTGCAATAACAAAATATCACACAGTTTGATGAATATTTGTGTGTAAACCACATACAGTACACCTTTATTCTATCTATTTTACCTTTTATTTTTCCAAGACTTTATAGAAAATCACGCATTACGTGATCAGTGAAGAAAAGGCTGTATCCCATGTGTTTTATAGGTAAAGAAGACAAGGGCGCTCCTAGACATATATTTTGGGGGGGGGGGTCACCGGGGGCCTGGGGGGTATGGAATACCCCCCAAAAAGGAGGGGGTCTTGGGGTTCCCTCCAGGAAAAATATATAAATAAATAAATATAGGCTATACAGGGTGATCAACTCAAGGAGGCCACCATTGGGATATCGGAAACGGTAATAATTAGAGAAAACTTAAAATGGAAGACATTCCTTCATTTTTTGTGGCGGTTTAAAATATGATTTTAGTCGTTTGAAATTCAGCCGCCATTTTCCAAAATGGCGGCCAAATTTAAAATTTCTTATCGAACACCCTATTTTATCATGTTTTCGGACATAATAGGCAATTTTAAAACTTTTTTATCCTTGACATTTTTTCGATAAACCCACTCGTTTAGGAGTTACAGCCTATGGAAAAATGACTTCCGGTGTACATATTAAATCATGTAGCTCCTAAACAAGTAAGTTTAAAGCAAAAATACGAGGAGTAAAAAAGTCTTACAATTGCATCCACATTCCAAAAAGACCATAAAATTAATTAAAAATATAAATTATATTATTTAAAAAAAATGGCGGCAAACTTGAAAAGTGGAAAACTTTTTATTTTATAGTCTTTAAGGAATGAAGATGCAATTCTAAGACTAATTTACTTTTTGCGATTTTGCTCTAAACTTACTCGTTTAGGAGCTACATGATGTAAAATGTACACCGGAAGTCATTTTTCCATAGGCTGTACTCCTAAACGAGTGGGTTTATCGAAAAAGTGTCCAGGCTAAAAAAGTTTTTAAATTGCATATTCTATCCGAAAACATGATAAAAAAACTGAAATCATATTTTTAACTGCCACAAAAAATAAAGGAATGTCCCCCATTTAATGTTTTCTCTAATTCCGACTTCCCAATGGTGGCCTCCTTGAGTTGATCACCCTGTATATATGAATTTGAACGGATGGTGATTTTGGCCTCTAGGGACCTCAAAACGAAAAATGAAATCGGTCCCGGGTCCAAGTGTTACCATAAGTACTACGGTAATAGCTTATTCCCTATATGGGAAATTCGCCAAAAACCTAATAGTTATATAGAACAATATTACATTCAACCAGCTGTTAGTTAAAACAAATTATATGGGACTAAAACAAATCGATGATTACAAAGATTCCTTTAAAAAATAATTTGATCATCCTACTATTTTTCTATGCAAATTTAAATAATCTGCCATCCTCATACCTAGGAATTGAATGTATCAATGGTCAGCATTACACATAGTATAAATAAGTCAACTCTAAATATGTCTTTAAATTTGTTTCCAAATGCTGAATTTGTGTCACAAATGCTGAATGTTTACAGCTGTTATGCTAAGCAAATTATATTGTACTAAAAGCTGGCTTAGAAGGTTAGCGTCGGCTGCTAGACTTTAAAAAAATTAAAACTTAATTTCTAAAAAACTGGGACCCTTAATTATAATTATGGCTTTGACATTTCCTAGTTCTCAAAATTATCTTTCTTTCAACACAAAAATAATGAAAATCCGTCGACTGGTTGATTCAGAATGTGAAAAAACCATATTTACGTTTTAATAATATATTTGATAGTTTGGACAGGTTTCAACCCTTCCGAGGCGTAATACATTTACACAGTTTATGTGTAGACTACATTATAACTTATAAAATAGTTCTAAAATTAAATGGATCTCCTTTTACAAACGTATATAATAACCAGAAATTTTCAGATCGTCCTTGCGTGTATTTTATGCCACAAATTTTGACGAAAGGCTTTTCATTACATAAACTATACCTATTTACAGTGTTGACCAACCAGTTGGCAAGAAGCATTAATAGATAAGCTAGGTACCAAATATGATAATTTTAGCTCTATTCTAATTATGACAAAACACGAAGTAACTAAAAGCAAGTTTTGTTGGTGTAGTAAGCGTTGCAGGAGGTCTACTTTACACTGAATCGACGTTCACTTTTATTGCTTTTGATCTTCCGGCACTGTTGACTCAGCGAAACTGAACTTGTATTTTACCGTATTTCGTTATATTAAAACTGCTGTTGCATTAGGTCAAATTCCCAATAAGTCAATTGCTTTAACATAGACCACGTTTTTAGCTCGGACTGTACTATTTGACTTACTGGGACTTTTGATCTACAGACACTGCAAACATTGTAGTTTTTGACCTAGCGGCACAGGTATAAATTATTTGATCTTCCGGGACTGTTGACTTTCAGCAACATTCCCTACCAGCAGTACCTTCCGTGCATTCGGTACTACTATATTGAAATGACAACGAAACCTCTGACAGCACAATATTTGATAGTATACTTTTTACACCGACCTGTAGAGCATTTCACAGAACAGAGCTAGCAGAGCGACCTGCAGATTGGAGTCTGTGTAGGCATACACTCTATAGTTGGTCTCCACTATGATGTAGCCTTCCTTCTGAAGGTCTGTAGGCGAACCAGTCTGTCCTGAAGCCATGTTTAAAGCCAGTCTCGTGGGGTAAAACCTCTTTTCTTTCCTCTGCAAAACATGACTTTTCGATATTACAATGAAGTTATTCAACAAAATGATACACAGCAATATGTAGGTTGGTGCAAAAATTAATTGTTTTACAGTTTTACACTTGTAGTAAGCTTATCAGTTAAGACTTGTTATTGAAAGTACTGTGGATAGGTTAAAAGTATTGACAAAAAATAAATTCATTGTCATGCTGTTTGGATTCTTTTGAAAAAGAAATTGTTACTGTCTAGTGAATTCCATCGATTAGTAGAATAAGACAAATCCAAGAAAAGCCACCATGTGTTTTGTTTAGTAGGCTACTTTATTTTAATTAGATTTTTTGTCATTTTTTGCACACAACCATCTTTACAACAATGAATTTGTTTGTATAGATTATTAGATATGAATGTAATTTATGCATTTGTATTTACCTTTCGTTGGTAAACCAGCCCAAATTCTCGTAGATGTTGAAGAAACATCAGAAGCCCTTCACTCATACCTTCCGTGCTGTAGTCCTAGATAGAAAAAAAATTATGAACAGTGAGAAGAAAAAATTAGATGGAAGATACATTAAACTTAAAATAAAGTTTTCACCACAACTGAAGATAAACACAATTTTTTTAAAGAAAAAGGTCCAATGCCTGGTCTATTTACTATCCAACGTATACTTTTTTTAGAAATGAGAATTAACTATTGCTAACTGACAAACAGGTTCAGGGCCTAGAATCAGTCCCACATTAAATGAACCAGCAACATTCAGATTTGAAGGCGTGCTCTATAGACCGTATAAAAAAAAAATTGTTATTGATAAAAACCTTTATCATACTATGCATCTGAAATTTTGTTTTACAAAATTGAAATTGAGGTCCAGTACTTCTTAAGTACAGTAGAACCTTACTAATCCGGCCTCCGATGGTCCGACACCTCGCTTAGTCCGACCGTGCCGCCAACACAATAGGCTTCCCCTAACATAACCTTTGTCCAAGAAAAATACCTAGACAACTTTATAAATTGTGTTTTTTTTTGTCTAATGTGCTGAAATTTTTTGCATATTTAACTGTTTCTGCCCATTATTAATAAACTAGTGAACCTGTGCGGCTCTATGCCCCGCAAAATTACATATGAATTTAGAAAACAAACTCATCGTGTTATATATTGGCTCAACGTCAAAAATTAAATACAGTAATAATAAGAAGAGAATCAGTCCAAACAAAGGAATGTCGATCAAAGCTTGAAGGTCAAGCTCAGGGCCGTCCGTAGTGGGTTGCCCTGGGCGCCGCGGCTGAGGGGGCGTCGTGCCGCGGCTATTTGTATTAACATAGTATTAAAAATATGCGAATGCGACTATAACTGGTGGGGGGGGGAAAAGGGGGCGCTACGACCACGTTTGCTCCGGGCGCCGCCAACCCTAGGGACGGCCCTGGTCAAGCTATCCGTTTGCACTGACAATTGTCTGCTCTGGCCTACACACAACACATCTGTATGCTGTGCGCTTGCTATGTCACAACATTTTGTGATTGGGTATTTGGTAATCATGACAACTTTAGTAGCCTGCGATTGAGTGATAGTAACCGTGGCAACTTGTTGAATGGTTGTATTAAGAGAAACTCAAGAAAGAATAGAATAACAAAGAGATAAGAATAAGCAATGTTTTTATGTAATTGTTATCTTTATGGTGTATTTTACGACTGTTGTTATGCTATAAATAGTCTACTATTATTTTATACTTTTTTTATGTGTTATCTTATGTTTTTATTGACATTCTTCTGTCCTGAAACAGCGTAGCAGTAGCCTATGACTAGCAGTAGCTTACTAGACTTTCTATTGTTCTGTTCTTTATTTTGCTGTACAATGTTTGGCAATTTGTTTGTTTGAGTAAAAGTTCAAAAAAGCTGTGATTTTAAACATTACAGTTTTTATTACTGAACCAAGGTTAATGACATAACATAATCATCATGATTGCGCAATAGCCTACCAATTGTATTTTTATTTTGAATATGCAAATTATCACTTTAAAGTCCATTTATACAGTACAGTTAGTATTAAGAATTGTATGAGTTAGAAATAACTGTTTGATTTTTATGTCATGTTGGATTAACCAAGGTTATCAGTTATCCATGGTCTGGTCTAAATACAGTTTTACTACGTTTTTATGTCAATAACCGGTCCTCTGATAATCCGACCTTTTTGCTGTTCCGACCATGCTCCCGGTCCTGTTGGTGACGGATTAGCGAGGTTCTACTGTAACTGAAATACAGTAAAGTTTGGTTTAAAAAGAGCAAACAACAATACATCAGTATATGTGCATGCAGTTGTCTTTAATAACCACAGGGATGCATGTACTGTACTTCAGTAAATAATTGGATCCATAAAATACATGTTCTGAGGTTCTGAGAAGTTTGGGAACCTGAAATTTGATTTTTGGTAGAGGTGTGCGGATATCCGAAAAATCGGGTTTTTTTCCCAGGACAAAATTACAGCAGTACGTTTCCAACGACCTAACAGCAAACGGCAAAGAAGCCGTATGATGCAATACTGATAACTAGTTTAGTCGTTATCGGCTGTTTTGCTTTACGAATAGATTTGTCTGGAACGAACAGACATAAAGCAGAAAAGAACTACCATGGTCAAATGAAAGTCAACTCGTGCTTGTCTCGCTCCTGATATTAGGGGCGCTGTGTAATAGTTTTTTTACAGTACTGTTTCAAAGTAGAAAAATCTAGCATACTACTGTGATGTTACGTTTAAACAATAGATTTAATGTTTCCCGAAAAAAAGTCAGAATAGAAACAATAGAAAGGCAACACAATAGAAGGGTGGGAGGGGTTGGGCAATGACCTCGAAAGGAGCGCGGGTAGTGAGTCAAGTAGGACCGGAGGGGGAAGGGGTGGGTAAGACCTTGAAGCTATATATATACTTCCACTACTTCCCTAAACTTAAAGGACTGGCCGGCGAGTGGTATTCCAATCACAGGACAAGATACTTCATTGCCCGGTTTGACTTTAGATTGTCTTACTGTGTAGAAACTTTGAATAATAAAAAATAAAGTTTAGAACTAACCACAATTATTTAGCATTGATTGTGTACATATTAAATGATTGAACTATAGGGACCATGGATATATACAAACTTTTGTTGTGATTTTAATTTCAACATCAAAATACAATATTGCACATAATTGTGATATTTTAGGCCATTGACCTTTATTATGCATCCGGTATTGCTGTTTCAGAAGAGAAGCACGTTGATAAATTATAAATTGATATTCCCGTAGTTAAAAAGAATTATTTTATAAACCTATAAAACAAAATCATAAAATCTTACATAAAGATGACAATAACGGAAATTGTAAAAAGGGTATAAACATAACAACGTCGTTATTCTTTCTCTTTGTTCTTCTATTTCTTGGGTTTCCCTTCATCACGCATTCAACAAGTTGCCATGGTTACTAATCACCCATGTCGTTATCAGCTTTTGTGACATAGCGCACAGCAGGGGGGTAAAACTTGGCGAAAAATATTTACCTATTATTTAATTACCAATGACATTACTAATTTATTGGTATTTGGTACTGTATTAATAATCGGTCAAAATGGCCGATTTTTGACAAATTTTACACCAAATTTATTGAAATTTCAAGGTGAATATTAATAAAACAATTATTACCAAATATTTGCATTAATTTAAAAGATTGATTTGTGGTATTGGGTTCCCCACTGAGTGCAGCCGAGCGGCACTAATGAGGGTCGGACCTTCTTGGGGGTGAACAATAGACGGCTTATCAGACCCTCCCCTACCCCGTGGTCTGGAGAAAGCTTGTAAACAAACTATTGCACAAGCGTGACTTTACATTGGGCTGCTTCAACTATAACTTTGTCAAATGAACTGTGATGTTTCAAAATCAAAAACAATAATTTGGGACCATACTGCTTAACAATAATGGACTGCAAATAATCCTATATAATCCGAAAATATCCGATCCGATCCGAATCCGAAATGAAATTTCACTCTCCGCACACCTCTAATTTTTGGGACTTGTCAAAGCTTAAAATCAAACTGAAGCAATTCATCCCAGTAAACCAAAATTGCACTGCATAATAAGGCATCCTTTTTGTATAACATGGGTGAAACATTGTAACTAAGTATTTAAAGAAGTCCAGATAATAATACAGACATAATATTTTTTTTTTAATCCACAAAATGAAGCATCAGAAAATTGTTTCAACAAGTATTTGTCGTTAATGTTCAAAAGTCTGACAAGCCCAAGGTTACATGTACAGTAAACATTAGTCAAAGCAACATACCAAAAGCCAAAAATGTACTCAAATCTAACCTCACCTTTCCCAATGTGCTGAAACTGAGCTGGAAGAGAAAAGTGAGACATTCTACGAGATCGAGACCACGAGACTCGACCGTGTCCAAATACTGAAGTATAAAGTACCACACTTGAGCGGGGGTGTCCAACAGAAGAAACTGGAATCCTTCCCTAGTGATGACTGGACTACCATCATCTTCATCTCTGAAACAGACAACAAACTACTTTTAGGGCTTTACGTGCACTCAAATCTTTGATAAGATCATCATACACATTATATAGGTAACCAAAAAATAGCCATTATGTAAAATGAAAAAAAGTAAAAAAAAAAAAAAAAACTGTTGGTCTGATACTGAGAACACTATTTGTGTATGAAGCCTATATAAAATATGAATGAAGATTTGTGATGCTGATTTTTTACATTGACAACTGAGTCATTGCAGAAAAATGATCACTATGAATTAAATAGTTTGAACTGTTCTCATCAAATGAGATGAAAAGTCTACTTGTGTTGGTAACCTACCTCTTCATGAGACCAGCGTGCAACAGTATCCTGACAGCGTCTGCTGAGATGCCCTCCTGCTGTTGTGAGCCGACCATGTAGTGCAGCACACACTCCCACCTCTCTAGAGCGTACTTGTCTAGGTAGCCAATGTCTCGGTATTTGGGGTCTGTCTCAAGCTGCGTCGACAATGTCCAAGGCTTGCCTCTGGTGATATTGAGAAAGTATAAAGTCAATGTTTAATGTTAAAAAAAACATGTTTTAGTAGGCAAAATGGTTTCATTGCACATTGGAGTAGTATAGGCTAAAAGCTGGTGGCTTACAATTTTTATTCAGTGGGCTGCAGTTATTTTGTTTATGTGTATTGCTTCTATCTTTAATTCTAGAGAAAATATAATGACACATTGACATTATTGTGGAACACCCTGATGGAAAAATATAAGTAACTTAAAGTAGAAAATATAAGTACTGTATTCTGATACGTCTATTTTTGTAATTTATAGTAACGTGAAATGAATAACAGACTAAGTAACTTTATAATTTTAGTTAATACAAGATATTGTTAATAATTTGCAAACATTCAAAAGACAAAAAAGAATATTTCATTCACCAATAGGGTTACGAATTATTTCAATATTTAATTCAAAATGATTTCTAAAAATATAACCAGGCAGAGTTGTTTAATTGGTAAGCTATATTGAAGAACAATGCCGCTTTTGGTTTGAAATAACTTTTTAAACTATAATCCACAGTAGAATTTTAACATGTTTAAAAGTATAAACCTACAGATGTTTATTTATTACAATACGCTAGGCTTACCCTCCATTAAGAGCAATCTTGGTGTTCTTCTTGAATGTAGGATTAAGGGACCATCCAGCTAATCCGCCCGGTATTGACGCTTCTTGCCAAATCCGCAACTCACACAACACCTTAGTCACCTCGTTGTGATCTCTGTAGTCAAATTAGATTCTACATCAGTTTACTAGGCCATTATTAGTAAAATTTCAGCTTTCAAGAGTGGCTTATAGTCAAAGGGTAGATGTTCGGTTATTTTATAGCAGAACCTAAAAAAATTAAACGGTCTCTTGAATGAAAGACTAGGCCTATTCATAGAGAAGTCCAAGCATTTGTTTGGTTTAAGTGTGAAATATTTACGTCACACCATAAGGCTAGCTCAAAACATTATTGCACGTAGGCCTACAGTAGAACCTCTGATATCCTGCCTCAGTTTTACCAGTCCTCAGTTTATCTGTTTACTTCTAGGAAGCCAATATCAAAATATTTTTTCTCACGGCTTACAGAAGAGAAGTAGAATTATAAGCACTTAGCCTGTTCTTCAAGGCTGAAACATTCTAACGATTTATTCTTATTTTACATTGCACTGTGTCACTAAAAAGTTGAGCTAGTAGGCCTAGCCTCTAAACATTTGGTTGATTATTTTGCAGTGTTAGAACAGCAGTACAGTATTTATTCTATGTATTAAAGGCCTCCCTAATACAATGAACGATGAATAATATTATCAAAGAAATAAATTGTTTTATAAAAGAATGGTTTATCCGGCCAAGGGCCCGGTACCGTGGTGGCCGGACATGGAGGGTTCTACTGTAGATAGGTATTTAATTTGTCACTTGAAACACTTACTTGGCATAAGCTTGAGACACCCAAGAAGCGATAACAGCTTGAGGGACAGGCTGCTCAACAAATAGTAATCTGATGACATAATGTTTGGCTATGGCAGGAAGTTCCCTAAAATACAATACAACATGGTCAGTCATACGTCTTCTTCTCTTACACCAGATTGAGTAGGCCTTAGTTAATTGATTGACTATTGAATCCTGATGACATTGATACATATTTCATGTATTTACCTGTAATCCCTAATCTGCACTCTGCGATCGAGGGTAGAGCAGGACGAGGCTGTAAAGCTATTAGGTTTCTGGATTGACCCTAGGTTAGGCTGGAACATCCACACAGACAAGGTATGCGTCAAGTTGTCAAGAGTACTCAACCTTCTCAGGAAGCTTAGAGAGATTATCACTAAAAACTACTTGATAACCATCTACCATTCCTTGTTCCATAGCCATATACTGTATGGAATAGTAGGTACTCTGGGGCCAATCTCCTTCTGCCCGGGAGTATATATCTGCTGCAAAAGAAAGCCTTGCGAGTCATAACATCCTCCGGCCCAAGAGAACACTGCCGACCCCTTTTCAAAGAATTGGGTAGGCCTATCCTCACCGTTGTTAGCCAGTATGTCCTGAACAGCCTATTACTGTTAAAAGAGAACCTGACCAGCTTTAATAGCAGAAGTAGCCATCACAACCACGGCACCCTAGAGCTCATAACTTGGACATGCCTCGCTGCCGTCTAAGTCTAACACAAAAGAGCTACCCGCACTCTGCTAAAAAGATCTTTAACACCCTGCCCGAAAGAGTCAGGAACTTAGACCTGAATGCTTTTAAAGAGAAAGTGAAAAAAACTACATAGCTGTCTATTTTAAAACATTGTGTGTTTAAAAGACAAAATGTATGTTTGAATTTATTTTTCCAGGGTCCAGGAACCACCACTGCTGAAATAGTTTTACTGGGTCTCTGGGGGATAGCCTATAACTTAACTTAGCTAACTTATTTTAGGGTTTCATCAAAGATCTGTCTCTCAAATTTAGGTCTACGATAAAACATGGATTGTCATAAATTTTATGAGTCTTAGGCTTAAGTTAATAGAAGAAAGCTTAGAGAGGGTTTGACAATGGGTGACTGGATGTATCGCTAATATGGTAGGCGTAACTTACAAGGACTGTCGGCTATTCGGCTGTTAGCTTAAGTTAAGTTTCCTTAAAACTTAGTGAGTTTAAAACTGAATTTCTCAATTAAACGTCTTTTGTTACTTACTTTGTAATTACAACACTAAATCAGCAGTTTGCGTTGGTCTTAAGTTAGCCTACCGTAACTTAGTCGTTATAACTTAGTGCCACAGACTTTGGCCCAAGGCAGCAATGTCAAGGTGTTGGATCCTTATACCTCACTTTCTAACTGCACCGGCAAATCCCTTGCTTTAACCCTCCAAGTGTCCATAGTATTGGTAGGCCTATTAATGTCCGCCCATTTATTGCGCAATCGCAGGGTTTTATTAAAATGTAGGCCTACCTTAGAAACTTAAAAACAATGTAAAGTATACTGTGTATCATTTTGTTTGGAAAATTATGGGCTTCAATGTAATATATAAAACATTACAAAAACATTTTCAAAAATTTTTGTGGGGTTAACATTTTTCAAAAATTAGAAAATAAATGAAAAAATTTATGTTTGCGCTCAATAAATTTTTAGAATTTATAAGTCTACAAATACTTTTTTTAAATAGCCACTTTGTTCTAAATTTCATAAGGATTACAAAAATACAATAATATAGCCTAAGTAAATTTGCAAATAAATAAGTTATTGGTAAAAAACAGATTTCGTACACTTAGCGTTAGCTAAGAATGCATATAACTTATAGCCTAACCATAGCTAGGAATCTGGTCGATAATTTACATCAATATCACTAGGCCTACCTACCTACTTCTTCAGGATCATCAACCAGCCCTTCAAAATCACTTAAATCTTCTTATAATGCACCACGTATATCACTACTTTTTATTAACACTAAAACAATGATAAACGTAATAAAACACATCAGTCATCGTTGCGAGGTTAACCAAGTTGTTTACAAATACGCACGTCAGCTGTCTGCTACAATATTTTTAGAACTAAAATGAAAAGCGTCTAAGTTAGAAACAGACATCAGGAGAAAGCTTAGAATCTGCCGAAAACAACAATACCAATCTCGATCCAGTTCAATCTGATTCAGTCAGTCCCAGAGCCTTTGCCGTAAATGATGTTTATGTGTCGCAAAAACGACGCATAACACCACGGCGGGTGTGTTGTGCGTCGATTACGCGACGCTTAACACTCGGAGGGTTAAGTACTGGATATTTTCTACGCACATGCCTCTGTTGTCCATGTGGTACAAATGCAAGGTAAAAGGAGGCCAACAACCACTAAAAAAATCGGCTGCGCTTTACTTTAGGTCCTACACTCATTCGAATGAAAATATCAATCGATATATCGTTTGGTTAGTTAGGTAAGGTTAACCTAACCTAACTAACCAAACGATATATATCGACTGAAACAATCATTCAATATTTTCATTCGGTTGTTTGTGTAGGACCTTAAGTAAAGTGCATCCAAAAAATCCTGATTTGGAGTTAATCTTAGTTAAGATAACTTAAGACAGACCATGTTGAATCTAGAATTATTAGGCCTAGGTAGGGTACATTGTTTTGTCACAAAAGGCTAAGTTTATGCCTTTATATAAGCTAATTAAAAAATCTACACTATCTAGCCTAGGCCTATTCTGACATATAAAAAGTCGAGTAATGTGTCAAGGATAATGCTTAACAAGCTAAGTAAGAGTAAAACAAAGTAACTTACCGGTAGACAGCCAAACAAGTTGTTGGGTGATTGTAAAGTCTTTCTAAAACCTCTTTGGGCAAGGTTTTTAAGTAATCGTGTAAATCTTTACACTGAAGTGATTTACTTTTAAGAACCAACGGGTTGTGACTACTCTTCCCCGGGTCAGCCATGACTTTATTTAATGGAAAATTAGAAATTAGGACTAACTTATCGAATATAACCTAAAACTAACTAAACAACAAATCAACAAAACAAACATCAATCTGAATACTGAATCGAATGCGAATCTAGCGGAAGCATCTAGCATAGAGTAGCATAATGACATAGTTTCGCATTCACAGTGAGTGAGTGACAGAAGTAAAGTAAAAGCACAGCACTGAACTGAACTGAATTTGGTTGAACTAGACTAGAGTAGATAAGAGGGAGTTGAGTAGGGAGATTGAGATTAGTAAAACACTAGCGGCTAGTACCTGCCCGCACAATTTGTTTTTCAGGATTAATTTTGCCAACAGTGCCATTTAGAGGCTTCTGATTGACTATAATCATCTATAATGAAGGTTTAGTAATTGAAAAATTATTTTTGTCCATAGAATAAAATTATAAATGCCTCAAATTCAATTTTATATTATGAAATTAAACAGCCATAACCTAACCAAACGTGCTGACAATGAAAAAAATCTGATGAAGGTTTATTAATCGAAAAAATAGTTCTGTTCATAAAATAAAATTAGGTAAAAATATGCCTCAAATCCAATTTTATAATTTTTTATTATAAAACTACACCATCGTAACCTAACCAAACTAACCAGACTTGCTGATAATGAAAAATCAAATGAAGGTTTAACCGAAAAAAATATTTCTGTTCATAAAATAAAACTATAAAATGGGTCAAATTCAATTTTATATTGTTTTGATTATAAAATTAAACCGTCATAACCTAACCAAACTTGTTGATAATGAAAAAAATCCAATACAAAAAAATTGTGTTACGGTTGGGATTCGAACCCGGGTCCTTCGGATCATCAATCGTGCTGATAATGAAAAAATCCAATGAAGGTTTATCAAGAACAAATATTTCTGTTCATAAAATAAAATTATAAATGCCTCGAAAATTCAATTTTTAATTATAAAATTAAACTGTCATAACCTAACCAAACTTGCTGATAATGAAAAATCGAATTAAGGTATAGTTCTGTTCATAAAATAAAACTATAAATGGCTCAAATTTAATTTTATAATGTTTTAATTATAAAATTAAACTGTCATAACCTAACCAAACCAACCAAACTTGCTGATAATGAAAAATTCCGAGACAAAAAGTAGTGCCTAAGGTGAGATTCGAACCCGGCTCCTCCAGATTATCAGCTCAGCACTCTATCCACTATACCACCGAGGCCGATGGCATCATGTTGTATCGTTGCTTTAATGGTGTTCCCTTAGCCAATCTGAACAGCTGGAGGGTAGAAGTTTCGCTCCCGAACAGATTTGGTGGGCAGGGACTAGCCGCCAGTAAATAACACTGTAACTAACTGGAGCACATGCAAAAGCACATAGCTCATGAGGTCAGAGTCAGAGGTAACAGAATCAGAATGACAGAATCAGAGAATTGCGAGACGTGGCGCCATTAGTATACTAGGTACTTGTCAAACCTATGTTGTATGCATTTTCTTTTTCTATCAATTAAGCATTTATAAAAAACCACAGGAAAAGACAAGTTATACAAATTGATATTAACGAACGTCAACCGTAGTAGATAATTTTTGACAAACTTACAACTTTAAACTTCAACTTAGGTTTACATTTTCTGAAAAATCCGCGTCACCCAAATCGACACTTGAGGTTCAAAGAAACATCAACATTAACTGATTCAACAGAAAGATGTGACTTACGTAGATTGGAGGAGGAGGCAAGGCCCCACTAGAAAAGTTTTTTCTAGTGGGGCCTTGGAGGAGGGGTTGGGGTATGAAATAAGCCCCAGTAAAAAGGGTGGTCTGTGGAGTATTTAATTCTCAAAATAAACACAATAACGCAAATCCGAGGTGAATATCTCACGCCTAACCAAAACGGTAGGTATTCCAAAATGGGTGCTTTTTCACATGAATTAAATTTTGGAATACCCACCATTAAGGCTAGGGGTGACATATCTACCTCGGGTTTGCGTCATTTTTTTTTCTTTTGACAAACCCTTCAAAATGAGGGGTCACTCAATAGGGGTTGTTATTAAAAAAATAAGTTACCCCCAGCTATACTCTGCTAGAGTGGTTAAAAATATTTTTTATGTAACAAATTGTGGAACCATTGTTAACAATTATTCCCATAAACAGAACTTTTCCATCTATTTTGGTAATAAAAATACAGATTTGTTTCAAGATTTAATTTACACACTGTATAAAAAAGTAAAATACACACAACTAAAGCTTTACTTCTTAAACTTAATATTATTATCACAATATTTGATTCTCACTTGACTAGTTCCTATGCATATCAGGTAGCCTATATAAGCAGATTTACCGTACACAATGTGTGGTTCCTTATGACTTGCGTATCAGATCATACGTCCTGTACGGTTTTGCGATCATACTGTGTCCAGAGGAAGTGCCACTTCAAAACAGCTTTCTTTAAGTTCACAAACTAGAGAAACAAATGCAACATAACTAATATATATTTAATTTAAAATAATAAATGATGAAAGACACTCAAGGATAAAATGATAAAACCTTAAAAACACACTTTCTTTAATCACAGTATACTTTTAATAAATAGCTTAAGTATCATATATAAAGAGACCCATCCGCCGGGCCGAGATAGTGTATAGCGATAAGCACTACGTCTATCAGAGTCCACACTCCCAGGCCACCAAAACTGAATAACTTCCCGATACCTTCCTGCCAATGTCCGAGGTAGAACCTGGAACAGTGAGTTGATTTTATGAACTAGTGTTTGTTTGTAAATCAAGAAGCAATAATTGCATAATTGTTTTCCCACTTAGCCTAACTGTTTGGATTAACTTAACCACAATAGTTACTGGCTGCATCGACCCTGAATTAAGAATTGAAAAGGGTCAGGCTTTGGATGGCCTATTTGCATAGAATGGTTATTTGTATTTTAGGTATCGGACAAACTGATATAGCAACAGGGTAAGATAGTACAAATACAAAGTTAGTTCCCCCACCACTATTCTACTGGTCCCCAGTACTCTGTGTGACCAGTCTGGCTGTTAGTGAAAACAGGAAAAGTGTGTGCCCCCACCTCACTACCTTACAACATAAGACCTCACAAATGCTCCTTTTGCACAGTTTGTAACTGGCCCACCATTAAGATATAATTAAATTTGTTGCACAAACCTGTCTGCACCGAAGCCACCAAGTGTGACGCTGAGTATAAGAGCTGTAGACCATCGATAGCCTCCCGTCCAGTTACACTTCAAGTTCTTCAAGAAGGTGCGCCTCCCGAGACATTGGACTTCGGGCTTCACTGTACAGTTGGACCTGGCAGAACAGAGCAGTTTCTTGTTGACAACTGTTTAAATACCTGCTCTTATTAGACAGTCCAAAAATTGAAGATTGCAACTAATTTCAGCAAGTGTAGCCATTCAGTTGGCCTGAGGACGATTGCTTTTTATCTTCGTATGAAAATTGTAAATGTTAATCAAAAATATTATCACCATTTATATTTATTTAAAAATTTATTTATTAAACCATTTATAAATATTTACCAGTACGATGTGATGGTTGTGATCAACCTATGAATCTTACACATGCTTTAAATTGTAAAAAAGGAGGATTGATCAAATATGGGCATGATCAACATCGAGACCACTGTGCTGCAATAGCAAATATGGCCTGGAAAGGGGTTGAAGTCGAGCCTATTATGAGAGAAGCTGACCCTGCAAACAATATGCCTGCTTTAAAAGCTGATTTTAAAGTTAATGGTATTTGGGAGGCTGAGAGAGTAGCGTTTTCTGATAATCGCATTGTTAATGCTGACGCTCCCTCTTACGCCAACCAAGAATGGGGAACAATATCTCGAAACCATGCCGTTCAGAAACACAATAAATATGACAAAGCAGCCGAAGACATCAGAGGAAGCTTCACACCATTAATATGTTCCACGGAAGGAGTCCCCCACAAAGAATATGAAGCGTTTCAGACGAGAACAAGCGAAGCCCTGGCTGTAAAATGGAGAAAACCATACTCCCAAATTATCGGATGGTTGAGGATCCAAAGCCAGCTTTCCATCATTCGAGCAGTTTCGCTTAGGCTACGGGGAACTAGACGAAAAATTCGAAGCATTCAATTTGAAGATGGTGCCGCAATTCCCCCATTGCTCTATTGAGCTTTCATTTTATTTTTTTATACATCCCAAGTAGCTAGTTTTTAAAAATTTTTTTGGAAATGATCTGTAACAGTTTTGTGTTTTTGAATAAAGTTTATATTGATAAATTAAAAAAATATCATCACTAACAACAATACACAACAACGATATATACTAAAAAGAGATTCAAAGTACACAAAATCTTTATGGTCGCTAATTCACTAAGAAATTAAATGAAATCACAAACTCAGTGGGGTTTGAATATAGAATCAAAATCAGAGTCTTGTGTCGGTTAGAAATAGTACACAAATTTAGCATATATGTAAAAAGAGTCCCAGCAAGGATTAAATTAACAAAGTAATGACTGACTAAAATTTTAAAATTAAGTACAGTTAGATGTTTTATGTTCAAAAACATTCCCAGCTATGTACGGCTATCCAGAGGTGTAAAAGGCTCTATAGGCCTACTGAAAGTATTTCATAAACTTGATTAGTTATTTCGACACCGATTTAATTAGAGCATTTACAACTCAGTTGATGTTGACAATTTAGGTGCAGTTACCTGTAATACCCCCTCGGAGATACCACGGAGCTACACCCAGCTTTCTGCACACACGAGTGTTCCCAGTGGTCAGTTTGGTAGCAGTAGCGGCAGATGATCTCCATCTCAAACTCTTTTGGGCCCTGGAAAATAACAAATCTTATTACTCAGTTTTGTTTGTGAAAGGCGCCAAGCAAGTAGGTGGTATCATAGACTAACCAACAAAGTATACTTCTCATTCCATTATACATTTTGAAGCTTATGTTGTTTTGTGTTTTGTTCATGTCCGGTGACACTGACCAGCTGGACCTTCCCAGGAATGGAGATTTACACCCATACCAGAAGAGCAACAGATTTCAGCCTTCCTGCACACCATACAACACAGTTCAGTATGAAACCCAACCATCCAATTTCAGCCGCAAGATCATCAATGTACTGCCCCAAGACCTCAAGACTATGAGACGAAGTGCACTAAAACAGGGACTGCGAGACTGGCTGGTGGAACGACCTGTACTCAACCACATTCCATCTCCTCAAAGATGGAATTTGAAATAAATTTTTATTGTAAGAACTACAAATTGCAACCCTAAAAATGAGCTGTAATTAAACTGGCAAATGCAATTAATGTTCTCACTAAAAATAATTTTTTTATTTATGTCTTACACTTGATGTAATCTCCTATGCTGTGAAGTTTTTTTCTATTGCAATTACGATTAAGAGTTGAATAAAGTAAATTTTATAGTAGGCCTACTGTAGATAGAAAATATTTCATCCTGTTTTTTCACTTGGCTTTTATGGAATTTTAGCCAGGAAATCAGTTAGGCCTACCGGTACGAAATACAGTAGGCCCATATGGAAATATATTGTAGTCACTACTCACCAAACAGTCATTCACCAGTGCTTTACAAGTTCCGTTAGTTTTTCCTCCATAGATGCAAGTTTCATTGAACGTACAACTGATACATGGATCCCCAAGTTTTGAACATTCGATATTACTTGGGCATTGGCTTTCTCTCTAAAACATACAAAACAAACTTTAAACTTTACATTTCCGTTACTCTTTCTACCGGGCATAGCATCTAGATAGGCTTGCCACAAATCCTACAGTTCAATCTTAAACTGTAGTCCTTTAAAAACGAATTTCCGGATAACCCAAATCAGTTTGCAATAAATGAGTATTAATATACCTAAACTAGAGGTCGTCCAGTGGTCAAAAACTCAAACCAAAAATATGTAATGTAGCCTACAGACTTCTCTATTTTCACCCTACGCTGTAAATAAAACATGTGATTGGAATTTCTTCCATTTGTTTTGATTTTTTGTTTATTGTGTTGTTATTTCGTCACCAGCATGGCAACCCATAAGGTCCATGTTAATTTTTTTAAATTTATTTGTTGTGCTTATTTTTGAGTCTATTTTAATTTGTGAAGGTATTCTCCACATAAGGAAAATATCTTTCCAACAGTATGCGTACATTTTCCCTGCGATGCATACGAGCCAAAAAATTTTTTAAAGAAATATGCTTGCCTATTTATACTAGACTAGATATCTATTACTTATTTAATACGCAAGCAGGATTTTTGTGACAATTACTCCTATGAAACTACTGAACCGATTGACATGTTTTTGGTGTCATTGGAAAGAGCGTAACGTGAAGTTGTGCAGGAAACTTTCTTATTAGGGAAATAATTAGAGAGTGAGGCTCTGGGGCCCTTTAAAGTTTCGTATTTATCCATAAGATTAACATGGGAATCAAACATTGTTTTGAAACTCCAGCTGTTGTCTGAAATTAAATATCAATAATTTTGGTCTCTATGGAAGCATGAGAAAATTCACAATGTTTACATTTGCTTTGACATTTAAATGTAAACAACCAGAACTGTCAAATGCCTATTTTACAATTTCAGACAACTGATCCAAAAAATTAAACAACTATGTGGTAGGTTTATTTAATCTTAAACTTTATGATAGATTATTTATTATAAATCCATTTCAATGATTATGAAACAGATATTTCCCGTTGTGAAGCAAAAATTAATAGTGAGAAGAAACAATTAAAAAGGTATACAATAATGTTAATTTTAAACAGTCAATGTGTAATATCTATGTTGTATTAAAAATGTGTATAGTTTTGAATGTTGGTTTGTGTTTAAAATTATTAGTTATTTAATTTTTATTTTATGGATTTGGCATATAAGCCTATGATAAATAACACCATTTCTGAGTTCTGCCAGTTTTTGCCTAACTCTGTCCTGTAGAGTTTAAAGTAGCCTACACCTTATTGTCTACAAATTGGCTAAATAACTTAGGTACGGTACATTATAAAAGCTGACAGCCTTTTTACGTTGACTTAAATTGTAAGCTTACCTTTTCCCGTCCATGGGCAGTTTGATCGTTAAAAGTTTAAAACCCTTTAAACTGGAATAGGACTGTTATGTAAATTGTCAGTATTTCCATTAGTAAATAAACTTTTAAAATCTTGACTCTTTTAAATCATCGGAATTTATGACTATTATTATTTATTTATTATTATTATTATTTATGATTATGACTATTATTAGTTTTTAAACAAGTTATTTGTTTATAAATAACTCCTGTACTACTTTGCAATTGCTCAATTTCGAGCAACATGTACACTAGTTAATATAAAATACAAATGTTGGTACTGGTACTGCTATTTATTTATATGAGTGAATAACCGAGAGGTTTCCACAATTTTCTTGCAACTAAGTTGGTTTACCCTGACTGGTCATCTGATGACTGAATGTAGTCCTGCATCGTTCAAAATCGCAGAAAATTAGATCAAATCACTTCAATAGCTAGCTACCACAAAAAATCTGCCAAGTAACTTACCCGAGTTTCTAAACTAGAAAAACAGGTCGGGTCGGGCATTTAAATCTCAATATGAATATACAAATCACCGCCCTGATCCGAGAACATACACTAAAAATCCACATTTGCCCTAACTACACGTAATTGACAGTATTAATGACATCAACACCTGTCGAGAGGTACTGTGTTACAGCCCTATCATAAGGTACATCAAATGGAGGTTTTAGAGGAGTTTAAATTTATAAACATAGCTATTACCATTCGGAACTTAGCTCTACTGTAACTCATTACTAAAATAACTTACTTTAAAAATGAAATGCTAAGGTTGGACTTATTAACTAATATAATTATTAAACTATCCTTTATAACAGCATCATACTTTCCTGTAGTGGAAATGTACTTACAACTCTGTTTTTTAATCCTAAAGCCACATCAGGTTGAAGGGTGGATGTTGTGAGTTCCACTTTTGCCCTTTGTAGTGACATTTCCCCATGTTCTTCATCTAAAATACAACAGAGCAGAATGAAAAACAATAAATATTCCCTCTTAACACAATTACAGAGCTAAAACATTGTTTTCTAAGATCACTTGTGATGTTCGTTGACAGTTGGTAACGCCTCCTTTCAGTTTGGCAAATTTTGGTCAGCTGTCATTCTAAAACCTAAAACCAACACCGCTTAACAAAGAAATCAGAGGAGGAAACCATAAACTAATCTAATTCATTAAAAGTAACATACATTTCATTTGTTTTAATTTTTGATATGATTAGGCCTACAAAGACCTCCATACATAAACCATTCAGCAATTAATTTGGCCTTAAAATCAAGGGGTACCGGTATCTTAAGGTTAAGCAGATAGGCCTAGGCCCATAAATAAACCTTTTTTGAAACATCACCATCCTCAAGAGTGGATTTTAATAAAGTGTATACGTTTCAAACATTAATCGACGAATAGCCTTAAGAGTAGGCCTACCTCGTCAACACAAGAATCTGTTTGTTGAACCTGGTCATGTGGCCTGATTTTGGGGATGAGTACTAACGATAATGGAAGGTCATCACATGGCTGACTGCGATGGAAGGGGCAGAGACAGGGGTCCGTGAGATTAGTCAGATTTCCAGACGATAGTATCGCCAGGTGTCAGTGCAACGAGCGGGACGGGACACTCATGTGGCGGCAACGACAGGGGATCATGCAAGGAGCCGGATTTCTAAAAGACAGCATCGACAGGGATCTGTGTGTGAAACCAGATGCCCAGACGACAGCGGTGACCAATGGGGAAGTATAGCTCGAGCCTCCAGTAGGAGTGGTGGGAGTTACAACAGACCCAGCCTTCTCTGACGAGAGGTGAGGCGGAATGAGCCTCAGCCTATGATGACAGGAGGGCGACTTTCAACCACAGGCTACAGTGGCAGTTGGAGTTAACCAATACTTGGTGTGTCGAACCAAAGCTCCAGGCTGGATTTTGTACGCTAAACATGGAGACGATTTCTTCAGGGGTGGCGACTAGTGTCCATGGAAGGCCACCATGTCTCACTGCGGTGGAAGGAGCAGTGACCGGTCCGTGAGGGTTGATCTGGACCCTGGCACAACTATGTGATAAACTAGATGTTTGAGATTGCTGACGTGGTAAACCTTAGCCAAAGCAAGGCACAGTTGAGTGTGAAAGGTAAAATTTCTTCGTGAACCCTGTAAGGCCAAACCAATCTCTGTACCGTACTGAGACCTATCTGGAAACTTTGCGCTGTATAACGTGAGGTGATTGAACTTGGCATATTAAACTGGTGTATTGTGTTACGGGAAAATTACGTACGTCACAAAATCTTAGGAGTATGTTAAGTTAGGTTACCAATCACCTTGAAAGGAAACATTTATTTTAAACTAGGCCAATTAAATGTGGGTACAGTTTCTTAACTGGGCTATGCTAATATCGATTGAAACTATCCATTAGATTAATAAACCTTCATGCGATTTTTTCACCATCAGCAAGTTTGGTTGGTTAGGTTATGTTATGATAGTTTTATTTTATACTAGATATATTTAAAAATATAAACTTACCATTTTGGGATGCCAATGTTATTCCCAGGCACGGTAGAAAAAGAAGGCAGTATACATAACCAAAAAAATATTGCAAACGGATCATTATCGGAAAATAATTCTAGGTTTAATGCTAAAATAAAACATTTTCAAAAACTATGGCAGCATATCAACAAACTTCAGAATTTATAACCATTTACTACAGTGTTTAGGAGCTAGGCTCGAACTCGAACATCTACAAACAAATCAAATCAATGTTTTAGTTTTTTTACTAGCAGAACTTTGACACTTGTTTTGACGTTTTGACAGTTCTCAAGTTCGGTGGGCAGATTTTCCCATCCTTGTTAGTCAGTCGTGACGTCATCGTTGATTCGATCGATTCGGGAAGTCGATGTAGTTCTAAATATCGTCTATCGATATTTGATCGTTATTCGCGGCGAATTCGTTAACATCATGGTTATGGTTGTTGTAGGTTGTTATTAATGTAGGTTTAGGTTGTTTCTCTACAATCTATGAATATGAAGTATGATTCTGATAGTCACATAGTAGAAAACCCTTTTAAACTAAAGTTATAGAACGGTCTGTAATTTAAATTTACCGCTCATATGCAAATCTAATTGTGTTATCGGTAATAAGGAGCTTATAACCAAGTTGGACTTGGCTTGTGACCAAGTAAAAGATAAACAAGAACTTAAAGCTATTATACAGGTTATGGCCAAAATCCTGCTTACAAGCACGCCTGCAAACAAATTTGCTATTGGTTTCTTGAAATTTTAGTAGAAATTAGTCGTATGTATTAACAAAGTGTAATTTCGATTCCACTTGATCACCATTATTATTATCTTCTGTTGTCTCCATTTAAAATCCTCTAATAGGCCTAGGCCTAAGTTAATACTTAAGTCATATAAATATAAAAATGTATAATTTAAGTTAAACTAGGCCTATCCAGAAAACAACTTCTCGTAAGTTAAGTACGGGTTTAAATTAAAAATTAAACTATAGTGAGTTATATCTGAAAACAAGATTAACAACTTTTCTTTCGTTACGCTTGTCGACATTACATGCAATCCAACCAAACAAAAACAAAGAAAGAACCAAAGAACGAAGAAGAAGAAGGGGTATTCGATATCGACTATTGACTTGTGGAGCTATGCGATACCAGTACGATAGTTGCATCGCATCAACGATGACGTCACGACTGACTAACAAGGATGGGAAAATCTGCCCACCCTCAAGTTCTGCCGAGTGCTGATCGACTAATCGAATCGTTGTAATTATGACAAAGACTAATAAGTTACAAGCAAAAATAAACCATTGATCAAAACCTGCCTGCTAATACTATAACTAACTAATCTTAAAATGTTTAAGGAGTGACACACATAGGACATACAAATGAGTCCATACCATAGATAAAACGTGTTGGTTAGTCTATGGTCCATACTAAATATACAAAAATTATGAAAGTACGGAATTTAAACTAACTGATAATATGTTTTATCAGTTAATTATAATGAGTACACATTATAAGAGTTGTGTCGTGGTATCATTGATAAAACTACTCCTTTAGTAGATTTCTCAACATTATCGATCAGCTGAAGCCAATTTTATTCTTAGCTCCGTCCGGGTCCGGCGGACTGTAGATAATGTGTTTTGTTTACAAATTTGTTTCTTGGTATTTTAGGTAGTCATTAAAAACCTCGTTTAACTAAATAAAAAGAACTTACCATAGACAATAACTCGTCCCCTTGTTATACAACCGAACAGTAAAGCGCAAATCATGAAATTAAACCTAAAATAACCGAAACAAAATTTCGTCTACACTAGCGATCAGTGTCACCGGACATAGACTTGACACGATAAACACGCTTCAAAATTTACAATGGAATGAAAAGTCTACCTACTTGTATTGGTTAGTCTATGGTTGTGTTCTATTAAGATAGCACTCCTAAACAAGCTTATTGATCTAATACTGACTAATGGACTATAGGTATGCATTCTTATGTAACTTTTCTTCAGGGTGGTTCACGTAAGGTGTCTCAATTTGATTTATGACAAACCGTTGGTCCTACAATGACGAAGTAAAATTATTCCCCACTAAATCAACTCCAAAGGAATAACGTAATAACTATTTTTTTTTTATACAGGGTGTTCAAAACCTAGAGGGTTACTAGTTCAAATCTTGGAAATATGAAATTCAAACATAAATCATATTATACAGAATTTTAAATTAAAGCCATGTTAAAAAGAAACATTTTGGTGAAAACAGAAATAAATTATCTTTAGCCGTTTCAAAATGGTGGTAACTTTTGAAAAAGTTTGATTTGAAATTGCAATGTTGAGGACAGCTGATAAAAAAAATACCCCCACCACATTAAACCTGCCAACTTAGCGAATTTCCACCTGTCTTAATTGATTTTCAAATCTATTTAAATGACGTTATGTTTAACGAGTACCCGGGTTTGCTGTTACAAGGAAACTGATAATGTGTGTTTTTAGTAAAATTTTAATAGCTTAGTATAAAATAAATTCAATTGCCATGTTTGATCAAAATATATCCATAAACAAGCAAACTACAACATTTTGCAATATTCTCCATAAGAAAAATATGGGAATTTTAAATTTACAATTTTTTTTAATTTTCTCCGTTACTAATTATTGTAAAAAAACACTTTGATATACTAAATTATTTGTTTTTGTAAGCTATTTAAAAAGGTCTAGAGAGGAAATTGGGAAATTTTATGTTTTGAGGGTAAAAATGAGAATACCCCCCACCGCAGCAAACCTGCAGAATAAGCGAATTTCTATTTACCCGGCTTCATTTCTACTAAAATATTCCCAAAAAATTGTCAGATTTATTTCCTATTACAATAACATTAATTTTAGTGAGTACTTATTTTTGCTGCTAAGGGGAAGACATTAAAGTGTGTTTTTTGAATTGAAATGTTGATAGCTTAGTATGAAATAAACAAAATTGCCAAATTTGATTAAAATATATCCATAAACAAGTAAACTACAGCAGTTTATTTATTCTCCATAAGAATAACATAGGCATTTTAAATTATACAATTTTTTATATTATCTACGTAACAATTTTGCACACAACAATGCTTCAATATACAAAATTATTTTTTTAAGCTCTACAAAATGGTTGGGAGAGAAATTCGGGTAATTTAAAGAATCGGTATCCACCACGAATACTAGAAAAGACCCGGTATGGATCATAAACATAAACAAATGATGTTTTTGGCCCGAAAGTAAACATAACCATATGTGGATTAATGCTATTAGTACAAGGGTTTTGTTTACTTTCGGGCCAAAAACGTAATTTGTTTATGATCCATTACGGTATTTTATCTAGTACCTATACGTGCTATCGACTTTAATAATCCAGTACCATGGTACCAAAACATTATTAACTGTTAGTAATTGCATTGATAAGCTATAAAATAAATTATTGGTTTTCATCCTACATAAATTTCATAAGTAGATTCTTTTTACTAAAACACTTGATTAGAATAATTAAAAACGTCACAAATACAAAAATACGCTCAAATATCTTTCTCAGCCACATTATTGTAGCTGCATTATATTGCTGTATTTGGTGCAAAATCAGTCAAGACCGCTTTTAGCACTGACTGTATGACAAGTTAAGTGTTTTTACTTCAACCACTATCACTCGAATTCATCAGTGTTAATAGCCTGTGACCTACACAATAGTGTTTGCAAAATTATCATAATACCAATTAAAATCATTCTTTCCTTTGTTCAACTCCTGTCTTGAACACGATCTACAACCATGAGAGTTCTTCATGCGTTTTTATTTTCATTTTTGATACTAATTTACGTACAGACTGCAAAATCGTCGTTTAGATTATGTGGAATTGGTGCGGTGAGTAAAATGTAGTACTTATGAATAAGGGAACAATTAATTGAAGAAAATTTGTCTAGGTATATTTTGTATAGGCCACAAATAATAATTAATTTCTTGGAATAGCTCAGTTTAATATTATTGTAGTTATTTGTTTTATAGTCATAGCTAGTTTAAATGTCTTTTTGAATTTTGCCTTGTAGTGTATGTTTCTGAAAGCTCAGCGTAAAAAAAAAAAATATAAACTCTTAAAACAACAGGGGGATTTTTTATGAATGTTTTCTTCAGTTGCATTTAAAGTGAAAAAATCAAAAGTGCTTTAAGGGAAAGTGGTATAATCAAACTACTCCACCTGCTATGGACATGATGGGAATTGAACTTGTCCCTCTCACATTGAAGTATGAAAATACTTTGCTAGCAATACACTCTATGGTCCCTATCTCACTAATGTTAATCCATCATACAGCACAGATAGGTGTCAAGGTAATGAAAAAAATATGTGATAAAAATGAAAGTGAAGTATATATTTATAAAAGTTATCCTACACTATTGACATTTTTAATTTCTCCCCCTATACACCATAGTATTGTAGAAAGTTATGTTTTCGTAAACATTTTCGAATTTAATTTTTGAGTAGATTTATTTGTTTTGGGTCACCCTGAACCCCAAAAAGCGGTTTTTCGAAGAGATGTCTGTCCACGTGTGGGTGGGCCTGTCTGTGTGTGGATGTGTACAGAGCTAACAGACCACACCTGTAGTCCGATTTTGATGACATTTTGTATATTGGTACTAATTCATGGTACCTCCAGGTATATTTCCTTTTTGAAATTTTGACTTTTATTGTGATTTTTCCATACAAACCCATAAAATAACTGAAAAATTGGATTTACTCAAAAATAGCACAATCGATTTTGATAAAAAATAGTATGTTATAGTCCTTTAAATTCTGAACAAAATGTTACAAATTCTATTTCCGTCAAAACTACGATTCAAAAGCTATTGTAACGTATGTTAACTGACGATAAATAACCCATAGCATAAAAAAATCCGGATTTTAGGAAAAAGCCGGTTTTGATTCAAATTAATGTGTTATGGTCCTTATAATTCTAACAATGCAACCCAGATTGCTTTAAAAATTACGGTTCAAAGGTTATTGCAACTTTTGTGATTTTTCCCTATAAAATTGTATTACTCCTACCGCTTACCCTATAAAGGTTGACAAGCTTATGGGAGAAAGCATGCGCCATATTGCTGATTTAATTTATTACGATTGTTTGTATTAATAATTACCAGAAACATGAACGTTTTTATATAGTATCATTAACTTATGTAGGTATATATAGTCAATTATAGTATCCAAAATCAAGAGCCCAATGAAAGATGTTGTTGTGTTCTAAAGACTACTGATCAGTAATTTACTCTGTTTCCACTAATTTATAAAATAATGTTTGATTTTTTTTATTTTCAGTGCCAAAACTCATCAGACTGCTGCGAGGGAGAGTCGTGCTACGCGAAAGAAGGGAAGGTGTTTCTTCGTCACTATGTGTGCAGTTCTGTCCCCTTAGAGGGCTGGAAAAAGTTGTAACAAAGAAATGTTCATCGATTTCATTGAATTTATCTGTTACAACAAATACTGCTCTTTTGAAATAAATGCGTTAAACTTGTTAGTACAGTAGTGTTTTTAAAGCAGTATGTGTAGTATTAGGCCTATTCTAAATTATGTGTAAGTCATTACATTTTTACGTAGAATATAGTTTGGTAAAATCTTTTTGGTAAAAGGAATTTAATGTTACTTACTTTTAATTTTTACCAATCCAGTTAATTATGTGATAAACCAAGGCCATTGCCGGTCTACTGTGTATATAGCAATTACTATTTTTCCTATCACTGTCTTTAGATCTCCTACAGGGCTATTAGTTCACGGGTTTTTTTTAGAATGAAAATGAGAATATATAATTTGAAGCTTTTTTTTAGATTATCAAGTGATACCTTGAACTACTGTGTAACTAATTTGCGTCAAATGATAAGGTATCATACTATGGCAAAATAATTAAGTTTTAAATTTCACAAATCACCTGTTTTAGCGAATTTCCCTATAGGGAAGTAGCTATTACCGTAGGTCTCATGGTAAGACTTAGGCCCGGGACCGATTTACATTTTCATTTTGATGTCCCCAGAGGCCAAAAACACCATTCGTTCAAATTTTTATATATGTATATATATATATATAGATTTATATATATATGTGTCCGTGAACACGATAACTTGAGTAATTTTTATCCGATTTTGATGAAATTTGGTTTGAAGGTGTAAGGCGGGATAAACTTGAATGAGTTCGCGATCCAGCATGATCGGACCATGGGAACAGGATTTTATGGGGGGTTTTATGGGGTAAAAATTGGTTTTTCTCACTTTTGACCCTCAAAACACAAAATTTTCCAATTTTTCTCTAAACCTTCTTAAAGAGCTTAAAAAAACAAACAATTCAGTTTATCAAAGTGTTTTTGTACGGTTATTGGTTACGGAGAAAACTAAAAAAAATTTAAATTTAAAATTCCCATGTTATTCTTATGGAGAATATTGTAAAATGTTGTAGTTTGCTTGTTTATGGATATCTTTTGATCAAACTTGGCAAATATATTTATTTTATACTAAGCAATAATTATTTTACTTAAAACACACACTTTATTAGTTTCCTTGTAGCAGCAAACCTAGGTACTCGTTAAACCTAATGTTATTTAAATAGATCAATTGAAAATCAATTCAGCCAAATGGAAATTCGCTTAGACGGCAGGTTTGCTGCGGCGGGGGTATTATTATTACACAACACAGTAACGCAGTATTATCAAATTTAATGCGAATCATGAAATTAGATTACAATTAGTTTATTTATAAAATGAGCATTTTTTCGACTTATAATTACTTTCGTGTTATTAGTAGCTACCTGCATTTTATAATGACTTCGATTGAACCGTTGTGTATCAGCGAACATTTCATTTCATGCTTGGAATACTCGTATAAACGGAACAAATGCTTGTAATAAGTAATTTTACACTTGAATACTTCCAACAGTTTAAATCATGGTTATTATGTTATTATACTCAGTAAATAACATTTGATTAGTATAATTTTGTTGGCGAAGAACGATTTCAAGAACTGGGGTGAGACTGGTTGGCGAATAGTTGTGACCTTTATCGTGGAATTCGGGTTCAAGTCCTTACAATCACCAATAGCTGTTAGCTATGAGGTAACTCTTGACACTGTCACCTGGTGATTTAGAACCAATCCTAGCTGGAGGCCAACAATGTCTCTCGCTCTCAAGAACGGAGAAAATTGTCTGCATCTGCAAACTGACTCTTCTATAAGTCATAATAATCCAGCTCGACTAACACCAAAACTCCAACTAAAATTAACAGTACGCAAATCTTTCTGGATAAAAGCTAAGCATTTGCTCATGTCAATTTAGTAAACGTAACCAAAACAGGATATTATAAAGCCACTCTAAATCGTAGTAAATAAGTAAAGAAATGCACCAGGCATATTACGTACTGTGTGTGTAGTATTTAACTAAATAGAGTATTTTGTATGCGTGTTAGATCGATTGGGATAATTGTAACATATAATATATTTATAATTCAATTTGTATGTTAACTTATAGTAGTCTCTTTCTTTCTTTGTTCAACTCTTTATAATGTGTACGAGCTGTTATGCTTATTTATTGCATTGTATGACTGACTAAATATTATTTGTATAAGTAAGTATAAGATAGTGATTGCTGCATCAATTAAGTAATGGTCTTGACCTTTGGAATGAAAATAAAATTAAATGACGTGTGTAAGAATGTCGCATCGACTGAAAGTATTGGAACTTCTGTGTTTTATGTCAAAGTAAACCATTAAAAAAATTTCCAGTAGATTCAAGTTATTACGAGTTTGTGAACAAGAACATTATTCAAATATAGAAACAAGAGTACAAACAGTTAAATGTAAAAAAAAACTTGTTCGGTCTACATTTGTTGCAGTTTTAGTTGGGACAAAGCCACATAGCAAGTCCCTAGTGACGGCAAGGCTTCATGTGTGTTTTCATTTTGTGTGTGACAATTGGCCTTGTTCAAACTAAAACTTTCTTGTAGCTGTGGAAAATGTCTTTCTCTTTTAGTTCCAATCATGGATTTTACTACATGTATTTTTATAGCGTAAAAGTAAGACTTTAAAACTACCTTGTAGTATACTTCTATAAAAACAGATGAAAGAACAAAGTAAGTACTTAGATAATAGTTATTAGACGGTAACGCCACCTAGGTGCGTATTTTAACCCAAATATGAGTGAAGGATGAGACTAGAATGTTGTGAGATGATCTGTGTAGCTTTGTTACTGACCAAGATCAGCTGGTTCATTAATCAGTATACGGTAATTGATTTAAAGCCTAATGACCAGGAGCAGCTTGGTCCGGTTTCGAACCATCAAAAAGTTACTAACTAAAGTATTGAAGTATGACTTTTCTCAGGATCGAACCGGCGACATTTTGATTGTTAAGCAAGCACTATTTAACCTCTCAGCTACCCATTACAATACTCACGGGATTGAAATTTCTAATAGTTGCTATTGATCATACCATTAATCATCAATGTTTAACACACGAAGAATAAAATATAAAATTACCAGACAAACTGCCCGTCGGGGAAATCTAAAGTTGGGAACGTTTTGGTTGGTAATCGCCTCACGTACAACATAACCAGATCATACGCAGATGTTGATATTCAGACCTTTGCGGCAATATTGTATCCAGATGTGATTCAGGTAAAGATATGGATATCCACAAGTTTGACTGGTGAATTTGATTTCTTCTTCAACACTGATGATATAACATATTGCGTGACTTTTTTTTTACATAAAACCGTCATATAACATAAAGCCGGGTCCTAAAAGGTAAAGCAGAACATTAGAAGAATACGAGGTGTATCATAAACATTAGACAAAAAAAAGGAATATGGGTTAAATAATATATCCGTAGAAAGAAACACATAGTTTACATATACAGGGTGTCTCAGATCACCCGGCCGGCTTGTATAGCTCCAATATGAAAGCAAATGGAAACCTAATTGCAACTGGAACCCCCTATTTTGACCCCAAGGAATTCAGCTAAATTATTTTCAACCCCAAAAAAGCACCCCAAAGGGCAGATTTTGGGGGGTGGGGGTGGTTTTTGGGAAATTTTCAAATGTAAAGGGGGGTCGTGTTATACCTCTTTTTAAAGGTCCTTTAGTCCTGAGTATTTTAGTGGAAAAAGATTTAAATTATCTTCATCCCTATTTACAGGGTGTTCAAAAACGTACAAAAAATAGCCCTTTGAACTACTTTTCACTGTAAAGAAGTGGAATTTTGAGGGGGGTTCATTTTTGATAACACTTTAATTGCTAAATGAGCTTTTAAAAAACTCTGGTTTCAACCCTTTTGCTATCTTTTTACTTATGTTACGCATTTTCAAACTTTTTGAAGTTTCAAAAGCTGTTATCTCAAAAATTTCAAATGGCAACATGGGTTTAATTACAAACCACATTGTAGCCCTTAAAATTTGCTATAATTTTTGTATTTAATGTTTTTTGGTATCTTCATTGGTTAAAGAGATATAACGAAATTAGTGTATTTTAATGGTTTATTAAATGGTATTCAAAGTGTTTACTGTGGCAAATGTACACCTCTAGCAGCAGCAAAACAGGATATTATAAAGCCACACTAAATCGTAGTAAATAAGTAAAGAAATGCACCAGCCATATTATGTACTACTTGCTATTTGTATTAATGTCATTGCTTCCGTGAGGTGATGTTGTCTTGAAAAATTTGCTCTCGAGGTTTTTTGGTACAAGTAATTGTTTTGTACGTTATTATTGCGTTGCATGTTAATAATAAAATATATAACAGTAACCCTATAGTATTGCATAATTTTATTTACCAATTCTTTGGGTTTTTACTAAAAATGTAAATTTATATCCACACATGTAGTCTTGTAAAAATACTACCATATAATGGCTTAGTTGGGGCGGTAACCTGTTTTGGAATTAATTAAATAATAAAACTAACCAAGAAAAAATATGGTCTTTGCAAATAAACTTTCGTAACCTTTTTAAAACTTGTTCACAACTAAAACAGGTAAATATAGAGAACCATTGAACTATTTTGTGTGGAAAAAATCTTAGATTCGGTATACCTAAATATTAAATTGGTTGAGTGTCTAAAATGAGAAAAAACACGTTTGTAATAGCGTCACCCAAACAATCGGTTTTTGTTCATCATACCATTTTGAACAAACACGATCATAATTAATTGTACAGAATTAGAGCTGGCTGTCGTAATTATTAATGATATAAAACTGATACAACGATAAAAAGGTATCACTTATTTCACAGTTTCTTGCAGAAGCAGTTAAGTTCTCTGAGCTACGTCTGTGAACGTGAACTTCTCTTTTACATCCCATTGATATTCATGTATTCCTGACGCGTGTACAGGATCAAGTGCTCGACAAGTATTCAACTTTCATACAAGATAAATTATTAATGCACTTTCAGATCCATCCTTGCTATTTGATAGTATGTTTTAAGTTTACATGTTTGCGTAAAACAACATAATGGGAAAATCTTGGCTGTATCCGATTCATCCTTCTTGTAGG